AGGGAGATGCTCCAATCCTTGAATCATCTGAAACAGACAAAGCTACTAACACATTCTTCATCCCAAAGTAATCCTGTTTTAGACATATGATGGAAAAATCCCTCATAACCATTAATAAACATTTTCTTTTAGACAAACAAAAAAGTCAGCTGCAGCCTCAGAAGTCAGACAAATGAAAATAAATAGGAAGTGATTATAATATACCCTACAGGGATGTTTGGTAATATTCTCACTGGAATTCTGCAGGCTCATCCTGTTGCTGCCACTACAGCTGATGATTTTCTTTCTCTGGTGTTAAATGAGGTAAAAACCTGCTATTGCCTCAGCCAACAAGAGCTAGCTACCACCAGTAGTTTACTTGGGAATGCAGAAGGTTGGGCAATTTTCCTGCACTAAAGAATACTTCTCACATAGCGATTACTACTTCAGACAACATCTGTGCATGTAGTTTGTACTGCTTCCAGCAACAGACATTTGCTTGAAACACACCTTTTCGAATGGTGAGTGTCAGACATCGAATGTTTCAGTGTCTGGGGATCCTGTGGAGCACAGATGCACATTGATAGGTGCATGCACACATCCTCACTCTGTAGCTTTGTAACCAGGCTGTGGGTGTTCAGCTTTCAGCTTGTATATCTTAAGAGTACAGCAGAAAATAGCTTTTTCCTGGCTTTTGCTTCTCCAAAATAAATTGAAAAGAAAACCCTTTTCTTTTTTTTTTTTTTTTTTCAAATAGGTGTTAGGTAAAGGTTCAAGAGCTAAGTTTACTGCTAAAGGGTTTGTACAACCTCCAAAAATTACCAAAGACAATGTATGAACAGAAATTCATTGTTAGTTTTTTCATGGTTGAATTTGCATTAATTGAAGGGCCTTCTTTAGATGACAGTTAGTTTTGCTGTGCTTTGTTATCCATGAAAAGATAGTTTGAAGTCTCCAGTTCAGAGTCTAATTAAGAAAGCTACAAATATAATTTCAAAGCAATTAACCTTCACTGACTCTTCGTGTCGCTTACAGTATGAATGTATATTTCCACAATGACATTTTTAAAAGGGACTTTAATTAAGGATCAACTCTGTAACCTTTCTTGCCAGAAGTGCTCTCATTATCTTCATTGGGATTTTCCTTTTGAGTAAGGACAGCTCACACAAGTAAGACTTACAGGACCAGGCTAATGGTTATAACTGTTGTGGAACAAATCACTGGCTTTATTATCTACCTATACATTAACTTCACAGGTAATAAGATAATAGTGTAGTAATCCTTATTTATTTTTTATCTAACAAATGAGGTGACAAAGTGATCAAAACCTTCAACTGAACTGTCTCCTAAGTAAAGTCTGAACCTTACTGAGCCTGAAAATAAGCTGTATTGCTCTTATGAATATTCAAGCCCTTGTGCGTATTGAAATTCTAACAAGGGCAGCAGAAACAGAACAGCTGAGGAAACTGTTCCATCTGAAAGCAACAGGGGTTAAAAATCTCTCTAGAAAGCCTCTGCCTTGTGCAGTTTATAGCTCGGTAATGTCTGATGTATGTTTATCTACACCTGGGTTGACAATGTGTTCAGCTCTGGCCCTTGCAAACTGAAATGTGAAGGGTGAGTTCCTCCATAGGCCGAGAAAGTCTTTTTCCTCTGAATTTCTTATGAATGTTGTAGATCACAAAATGGCCTTGATGGCTATTCTGTGAATATGGATTTACCACCCACGGTCAGAAAGGAGACAACCTGGAGCACATTAATTTTGGAGGTAGAGAACGGTGGTGGTAGAGAGGGATAAGTGCTGCACTGAACTGCATGATTCTTGCCTGACAAGAGCAACTCCTGTGATTTTGCAGATAAACTGAAACCTTCTCAGCATTGTCCTAATTTATGTCAATCTCTGACTTGGATGTTGTAACAAAATAGTTACAACTACTTGAGATATTCTCAACCTTTTAATGCCTCCCATTCATGTGTGCCTGGTCTTATTTCCTGTGCCAGAGCTCTCTACCCCCTTGGTTATGGTGATACTCCTCTTTCAGGGGCTACTCTATGGACAGCTTCACAGAATTGATCTGAGTGTTTGAGTTAAACAAAAGAAAAAAACTCTGTGATTTTTATATTGAAAAGCAGGCAAGGATTATTCTTAATCTTTACCACATGCAACTCCATCCCAAAACAATGATATTGTTAGGGATAGTTCAGAGCATCCAGAGGACTCCTTTTGACACTCCTTTTTCACCTTCGGAAAACTCTAGCATCTCTGCTGCATCCATGTCTCCATGAGAAATGTGGAAAACACTGAAGGGTATGTCCTTGGACTACTCTAGTCATGGTGAGTTCTCCCTCTCCTCTGCCCCTCCTCCCCTCAGAGGTCTTTTACTGGTGCAAGGATGGGCAGGGCAGAACCTCTGCAGCTCTCATACTCACACATATTTTAGGAGTGCTTCAGTTAGTTCTGGAATAGCAGAATTCTTTGTGGCAGTTGTTGTACTCAGGTGTTGTCATCTGTTTCACAGACACACCCGGTTGTTCCTTCTCAACCACATGAGATCAAAAGCTCTAACAGCACAATTGCTAAGTTTACAAATAAATGCAAATGACTGAAGTATTTGTTTAAATAACTAGTTCTTATTTCTTTTAAAGATTGCATAATGCCTTTTTTCATTCATGACTCACAAAAATAAGTGACTACATGCAGAAAAGCTATTAACCTACATGTCCAAAAATGTTGTTGAAATAGCTACCTGTAGTTGCATTATTACATAGTCATGATTAAAGATGGACAAAATAGCCTTATATCATAAGAACAACAGATTAACATTACTGGTGTTACCTGGATCAATGTTGCTACTTTCACAGATAAGGTGATTCAATTCTCAATTGAATCCTACAAGAACTCATAGCTCAGTCAGAATGAAAATTACTGTGCTGTTTTGATTTCGTGAGTTATCTTCACATTTAACATCCAATACTGTCTGGGAGGTGAGATCTTGAAGAGGAAAGTCAGATGCTAAAAGAAAATGAAACCAAGTGAGAATAACACTAACTGTTCAATCCTGGTTTACTACAGTCTTTTAATTTGTTTCTGTGTTACTGAAATGACCAAATACAGAGCTTCAGCTGGAAATAATGCTGTTCTATCTGCTTCAAAGTTTAGATTGTTTTTTATCTAATTTTCTTAAGCATTAAGACTTATGTGATGTCAGTGTTTCCTTTTTGTCAAAGGCCTTCTAATAGTTATTATTTTACATACTGTTTACACTCAACTAAGTTTGGTACAGGTGTAGTTGTCTCAAAGTTAAGCACAGTCTTCTTTACTTAGTGAGTATCAGCAGCTTGAAATGGAATAGTGGCCCAAAATTGGGCCTAAACAGAAAAGGCAGTGGCCAGTGCACACCAATTGTATATGCTGTTGGGTAGCAGTCCGTTGGTAAATCGTCATGCACATGGTGGTCACACAATATTCATAAATCACATTACTTTCAACAGGTACGGCAGGGCATGTGTAGGACTTTGGGAATAGTAGGGATGTGGGAGGAAGCCAGAAGTACAGTACTGAGTAGACTGTGGACACAGAAATGACCTGTGAGTATCTGGGGTGGAGTGGGAAAGGAGACACGAGACAGTAATCTCTAGAAAACCAGGTTTCATTCATTATGGTGCTCTTGGGGCAGCTTGGCTTTTATACCTTTACTTTGGGACTTTTTTAATTACCTGCTTTTGAAGCTGAACATAAGGAACTTATAGATTGTCTTGCATGGAAAATTTGGCAGAGAATTTTGATAATAAAGAGTGAGCATATGGAGTCATCAAAGTCCAGAAGCTGGTCTCCTTGCCTGTTTTTCCAAATTACTATGAGGGTGCAAAGTCATGTATGATTTACCATGGGTAAAGATTCATTCTGAAAAAGCAGGCTTTCATTTGGGTAAAATTACCTGAGGGGAAAACTGCGCAGTGGATCCCATGTTGTGCAGAAGAGAAGGTGACACATATATATCCATGCCAAGCTCCCTATTGAGATGATCTCTGTTAAAGTCAGATTTGTCCAGTGTACTATCCTACAGGCTAGTCTCTCAGTGACATCTCTATGATTTTACCACTTAAACGTCTAAATGACTTTTACAGTCTATGCTGTATCAGTGACATCTCTATGATTTTACCACTTAAGCGTCTAAATGACTTTTACAGTCTATGCTGAAGCCCTACACACCTCTAGCAACTGTAAGAATTCTTTAGCAGTATTTAATTGACAAGTTGAAACAGTATTTCTAAAAATTGATATTGGTTGCATTTTTCCAGTGATTATGATGATATTCTAAAACATCTTGTTTTCCTTGAGTATGTATATTGGTATTAAGAAATCTATATAAAATATATTATGCCAGCCAATACGATATATTTTTTGGCTTTTTTTTTTTTTTTAATTTCCCGGACTCTCACAAATCTGTCTAAACTATTGAACCTGCATTTATTCATAACTCCGTAAGTATCTCCTGAAAGCTAATTTTCTACTCTATTTTAGCTTCCAGGACTAAATATAGGAGTATGTATTTTCCATCACTAACATAGTATTTGATTTTCAGCAAGAGTGGTTTACCAAGTAGATGTTTCCATCTGACTCTTAATGGTAAAGTATAATAAAGAAGCCTGCAAGAGAAATCAAATGTGAATTTCTACAGCTGCACTTACACATCTTATGCTTTTGCAAATCTTTGTGCAAGTAATTTGTAGTTTTCAGTGAATGATCTAAAATTGATCCTTATCATAATGAATGCTTAAACATCTTTGATCTTTCTCCTGACTTCTCCATGTAATTCTTTGTTAGGGAAAGAATACTGTTACTGACATCATCTCATCCAGTGAATCATCTCACTTAACCTGGTGTTCTTTAGTATTCCTTGCACTTTCTCGCATACTGTAGATTTTTTGTGTGCTATAGAAAGTAATGGAACTCAGTATTTGCTTTAAACCTGTTATTAAATATTCCTGAGACGTCCTTTGTTTGTATTTTTATATAGCTTCATCATACACAACAAAGATACTTTCTTCAATAATGCTACAAGAAGTAGAATTGTACACCATATCTTACAGAGAGTGAAATACGAAGAAGGGAAAAATAAAATTGGTAAGTGCAGAGCAACCCCTTAGCCATGAGGGTGCTAAGTCCCACCAAAAAAAAAAGAGGATAAGTCTGCCTGGGCTTGTAACAGACTTGTTTGCTTCCTTTTTAATCACCTCAGTTCTGAGCTGAGTAGACATCTACTACAGTTTTGCGTTGGGTAGACATCTCACCCACTGCTGTTGTAGGGGCTATGCCTGGAAGACCTGACCTTTTCCCTGCAATATCAGGCTACTTTCACAGGCACATATGTCACCACATGGGATTTATCACCTCTGCAAGGAAAGAGACTGACATAAGCAAGAAATATGTACAGATTAAGGACTCTGGGGAAGCAGATAAACTCATGTGAAAAAGCTTTTACTCCTTCAGAAAAATGTATTTGGAAGGATGGCAAGATGTGTGCTGCTGTACATCTCACCCTGTAGGGCTTCTCCCGGGATACTTGTCCATCCCTAAGGGAAATGGAAGGTTCTGTATCTCTTTAGCTGCTGTAAGTCAAAAGGGAGATCACCAATGACGTCCTCAGTGGAAAGGATGCCATGCATAACTGTAGCATCCCTTTCAAACAGTGGATGGACTGGAACTTTGGAGAGGCACGTCTGCAGATCCAAAAAAAGCAGACAGTGACAGAGGAGAGCTGGAGTACAAACCGGTGGCCCTCTTTGTCTTGTGATACAGAGCACGTACCGTTTGTGTACCGCATAGAGACTGGGGCATCACAGAGAGGCAATCCCCATAAAACTCGGCAGTCTGTTTAATTCCCCTGCTGTTTAAACCCTATCCTTCCTCAAGAGATAGAGAAACATCCCAGAACTTGTTTCTTCCTCTGCTCCTGGAATGACAGTAGTAGCTCTGAGCAATGTCAGCGAGCAGAGGGGAGAGAAGAGAGGGAAGGATTCATGCAGTGCATGCAGCAATTGCATTTAACAAACACGCTTGCAGTCCCTGCCTGCCTCAAGCTCCCTCATATATCTACTTGTGATGTGCCTACCATGAACACAACCTTGCATTGATCACTGGGCAGAGCAAAGCCCAGCTCAGCTGAATGGGTTTTGCTTTTCTGCCAGGGACTTTGGAAGAAAGCATATTCTGCCAAGCAGATACTAATGCAATCACTGAAGGTGCTGTCTATGTTGGATGAATACTTTTCAGTGCTGTGTTCTTGCCGCTGTCATTCTCCTGTGAATTGCGAAAGGAATCAGCATTCTTGGTCAATGGGATTCAAATGCCTAAAGGTTGTTAGTGCCAGTGTTTAGTTTTGCATTGCTTGATATTTGTTCAGTCCTATTTTGGTGACTTTCTGAGTGAGAAGTGCCGACATCTCAGCAATCATTCATTATTTCTCTCGAGGTTCTCATTAAAGAGAGACAAGGCCTGACTGAGACGGGTGTATGATCACTTTTTTGTGCCAGATAGCAATCCTTTTTGCTCAGGTTCAAGTATATTTTCTGGTCTTGTACTACTGAAGCCTGTCTTGTTCCTATTCTGTCTGTTAGTCCAGCAGCTTTTGTAAGACATAAACTGACCATATTTTACAATGTTGTTATCATACAGAAATTAAGATTTTCAGTTCGTTTACTGTCCTACAGTTCAAAAATGTAAAGATCTTCCCTGAAGTTTTCAGATCCCGAGAAGTATGGCCTTTCATCTAAATAGCTTCCTTAGACCATAATTTATGGGGTCAAACTTCAATCCTAGTGTGAGGTCCCTGATTTCACTGAAGTTACGCTAAAGATGGATTTGGAAAATGGATTTCTAAATGTCCAGCATAATAAATGATAGATTATAATTAATATTTTACCAAGTCTTTGCTTATATTATGTCTTAGTTCATCAAAATCTATAAAAGATGAATTTTTCTACATTTCTCTTTTACTGTCAATGGGCTTCAAACTTCATTTAGCCAGCTTGTTATAAGAATGTGTTTTGCTTTTTACTTAGCAGTTTTGTTGGTCCTATTGGTAAATAATTGGGTACTTTTGATTCTTAGGTCTGAATCGATTGCTCAGTAATGGCTCCTATGAAGCTGCATTTCCTCTTCATGAGGTATTTTTCTCAGTCTTTTTTTTTTCTTTTTGAACTGACATTTACCACAAATTGATTTCCTAATTGTGTAATCTTTTATTCTCAATCTTATTAATGTTATTATTCTCTTTTGCTTTCTGCATCTGCCTCTAACATCCCTCCCATTTAGTAATGCTTCTTTCTTGGAAAAAAAATGCTTTTTTTTCTTGAAAAAAGAGGTGATAAAGAGAGTTGCTCTGCATCTGTTCGTAAAAAGTATTTGAGTTTGATAAATCAGTATATTTTCAGAGGGGAAAAGTATCATGCTGTAGTTTTTGAGATTCTCCAATGCATAGCCTTTGACTTCAACACCACTTACCATAAATTTTTGGGAGCAATAATCTCAAGTCTTACTGAAGTCAGAGGAAATTGTCCTTTTAATGTCATATTTAGTTTTTGGTGGACAAATATGGAGCTTGCATAAATTGTGTTATCTGTACCACTAGTGAGAGAAATTTCTTAGATATTCTTTTTTGCTATTGTTGTTCAGTAATGTCCAGATTTGTATTTTAGGGAAGCTACAGAAGTAAGAATTCAATAAGAACACATGGGGCAGAAAACCACAGACACCTGCTCTATGAGTGCTGGGCTTCCTGGGGAGTGTGGTATAAATACCAACCACTGGACCTTGTGAGGTAAGACTTTCCTGCATTTAGTGTGTCACATTTCTAGGTGCTTTGAGCATAGGTTATCTTTCTTCTGACAAAACCATGAAAAGCTGAATTAATTCATGTGTTTTTTAAAAACTGATGGTGCCCCTACATTCAAAGAAGTATCTATAGAGGAGCTTGTAGGAGGAGCTGAAAGTGAAGGAAGTTTACTTCTAGAGTTTCCTGACACCATAACTTCTAATGAAAGGTTTGCAGAATATTTAAGAGAGAAAAAAAGGGAGAAATCTGTGGAGGTTGAGTAGACTTTGTTGCATGTCTATCCACTGCAGGAGTTCTTTTTCCTCCTCAGAGCATCGCTTTATTGAAAAACAGGCTCTTATCAACAAGATCTTTTTTTTCAAAAAGCAACCACAGAAGGAGCTCTGGATGAAGTTTAATGATGCTTACAAATGGCATGTAGCAGAGCTCACAGTCGTTGAGTGTTCAGCAGCAGCAGTGGTAAATGGGTAGAAGTCTCTCCTGTACCACCTCCCTTCAACTCAGTGCAGCCACACCACCACAGTCTGGATTTATATGAATCTTGGAAGTAGCCCACAAAGAAGAAACACTGAGAAAGACTGAGACACAACTCCAAATTCTTATAGGCCTTTTAAATATTTTCAAATAGGCTTGCATGTGCTAATGGAGGATTACATATCTTTTATGCATATAAAGAGAGACAGAGCCTTTACTGGTCATATTGGCAGAACTATTATTGGGCACTAATGGGCTTTCTTTACTTGAAGAGAAGAATATGAAATTACAAGGGCCTATTAATAAAGTCGTAAGATATATTGGGATCGCTGAAGATACTGATACATCAGCCATTTGGAAGGGCCATACAGGGCATGTAATTGGTCCAATATGTTAATTTCCCCTTTTATAAGTCCTGTAACTGATAGAAACCTTTGCTTTTATTGATTCTCAAAATTTCTTCTAGATAGAAAGACTTGTAGAGGGCTGCCCGGGAGACAGACAGTGTTACTGATTAAGGCTGTGTAAAATTTATCCATTTCATAAAACAGGGGGTGTTCAATTTCCATGGAGAAAAAGTTCAGAGTGAAATACAATAAAAAATTTTTACCGAGTCATGTAATTTTTAAAATGCTTTAGAAAACAAAGTAATGTATTTGTACCTCTTCATTTAATCCTGAAAGCTTCTTATGTCTTTTTTAATATACTGGCTTGGACAGAAATAGGGAATTTTTCTCAAATTACACTATAGAAATTGCTGATTTACTGAGGAGACCACAGTTATACTGAAGTTTTTTATCTTAAATGTCTCAGTGTACAATAAGATACTAATGTCAGAGTATAAACAGCTTACCTTTACGATGTTTTTTAAACATTTGTCCATGGTGGTCAGGACTACTGTTCTTCATCAACATTTCTTGTTTATGGAAGTTTTGTTGAGCCAATATCTGAGTTTTGGTTTAATTTGGTTTATGAATATGGACAATCAGGCTTTTTAAGCATGAGAATACATGGTAACAGAATGAGCAAGGTTAGACACATGATTGTTCTGGACCTTGGTAGCAGCCTTCTTGAGTAGCCTAGGTTTGCCGTTTAAGATTTTCTAAGGTGCCTTAGCGTTTTATCAGACACTGACATCCACAGATTTTTCCACAGCTGTTTGCAAAGAAAAAAAGCAATCAAAATAGCAGACCCCCTGGCTAAGGTCATGGGTGTCCTGTGATACTTCAGAGTAGCTGTTTACCCAAGGAGGACAGGGGAGCTGCAGCCATAGAGCTCTGCAGGGTTCAAAGCTGCAGCCCTAGCCCAGCCTGCCCTTTGCTGCCTGGAGTGCACCCATGGCTGCCATGAATTCACTGAAGGAGGGGTGGCAGGAAAGGGGAGGGAATGCCTTTTTCTCACTTCACAGATGCTAGATCCCTCTCATTTCCTTAGTTCCTGCCAAATCTTTTCTGTCTGCTGCCACTCTCAGCAGCTCACACATCTAGTGAGCTGGAGATTTTTCCTTGAAGAGCTGACAACACCAGCAAGACCCGTTGTTCATTTCACTCAGAACTTTAAACAGAAGCTTTTTTAGTACCAGTTCTGCAGCAGGAGCAACTTTTAAATTTTTTTGCTGTACCAACAGCCATGTGGGGTGTGCTTGAAAGTAGTGTTGTCTGTACAAAGGGAGTGGATGGATATTAATTCTGTCACAGAAATCTGTCCAGAACTTACTGCTGGTGGCTGACATTCCCCTTTACTATATGCTTTAGAAAGGCTAAGGGGTAAATTAGATTTAGATAATATAATTACCTCATTAACAGATATGATATTTCCGTCTTAAAGCCAAGTTGCCACAATGGTGAGCAAAATTGTTCATAACTTGGTGCTGGGGTTTTTTTCCTTAGCTGTTAAAATGAGGCCTTACATCTCTGGTGCTGTCAATTTGGTGCCTCCCAGATTTCATTTAATCTCATCAGCTGACTGCTATGGAGATACTAGCCACTAGAAATAAATGAGAAAAAGTCACTGGAGGAGAATTGCATCATTCTGCTTTCACTCTGCTTTGAAACACATGGCAGTATGTGAAGACGCAGACTTGGCACAATTGCAAAGGCATTCTTATTAATCAACAGATGTGGTACTATGATTTTAATTACCCTTCTGTTGGAATTTAGTATCCATAGTTACTTTACAAGAATAACTTAAGATCCTTAGAATTGATAGCAGTTGGAAAGAGGCAGGACATAGTATGTTTATGTGCTCTAGGACCATGTAAATCAATGGAAACAGCTGCAGTGATTTCTGGGAGCTTTGGATCACCTCCTTCACACTTCTGTGCATAGGTGCTTTCCTCTAGATTGTGCATAAATTGTTCCTGCTGCTTGTGCATATTATTTACAGGACAAAAAGGGAGGGAGAAAAACTATATTTATAAAGTGATTGTAAAGTTACATAAATGAACCTGAAAGCAAAAGTAATGCCTGGGTAACTTGCATTTTACTCCATGTTTCTACTAAATTACTTGATTGCAAGCTGACAACTCCCTTTCAATCTCCTGTCAAGCCTTCCTCCCCTCTCCATTGCTCCTGACGTAACATGACAGCTATGTGTGTCCAAAACACCTGTTGGAAAGCTCTAGTTCCCTCACAACTTGTTTCTGTGATGCAAAAAGTTCTCTATGGGATTTCATTCTGACTTGAAAAAGGATTAATGAAGATAGATAGGTTCTTGGCTTGAGTCCAAACCTGCTTATATTCTAGCTCCATGGCTCCCTTCTAGGCATCCTGAAAGCAAAAGATGATATAATAAAGGTCACTGATCACAGAGGAATCCAATATCACATTTTATGGGTCTGAATGCTTTTCTAAAATGTGCCTTATTGATAAACACTGAGGTTGTAATCTTGGCCCAGTTAGGTCTGTGATAGTTCTACCATTGGAATGCGGTGAGGGGAGATAACAGTTCACTGTTAAGGTAGGTGATGTTGAAGGGCTAGTATACATGCTAGCATAAAACCAAGCTGGAATTGTGTTATTATTATTATTATTCTAAAGGTACAGCATATATGAGGGTAGGAGAGATGGATTTTTCTGTTAGGGGCTTGGGGTTTTTTTATGTCTGTGCTTTATAGGTTAGTTGTGGAGAACCATAAAAGACACATAACATTTTTGGATGGTAATAAGACACCAAAGTTAACAAAAATGCAAAAGTTGTCAAAGGTGGAAAATTTCAAAGAGGTCTTCACTGAGGAGAGTGTTAAAACATGGAATTTAGGTATAAGTAACGCACAGTGATGCACCCTAGGAAAAAAATCCCTAGACTCCATCATGTACATTACTGACTTCTGAGTAAAGTACCAGCGTGCAGTTAAGAGCAATGTCATCAGTGTGCAGAGCTATATGAAATTTCTGTTCTTTATATAGTGACAGAGGAGAAACAAAAGAGCTTGTTCCTCATATTCGGTGCAACTTGAAGGAAGAGAGTGGGAAAGGTATTTCTAAACATCTTCATCTCCTGAGGGTGATGATGATCCCAGGCTAACTCAATTATGAATTGGAATAAATGTGAAACTTCTATGAATATGGCACCTAGGAAGGCCTCCAAAGACCTTGTTACTGCCATAGTTTGTTTCTATAGCACTCATCCTAGTGGTATCTGAGCAAAGACTTATAGAAAAATATGCTAACTACAGGGCCAGAAGAAATTAAATATTAACTTGATCCTGATGCAAATTACAGTAGTACAGCTTGTGGAATAACAGCTGTGAGATAATGTAAGATCAAGGCTGTTTGTCCATATTTAAACTGATATGTATTAAAGTAATGCCAACATCCAGGACTTATTTTTAAAACCACGCTCACAAATGGACTCAGATGCCGTTTGTTTTCATTGCAGAAATTTGACTTGTTCCCTGTAATGACCATTCTTCTTTTTGCACACAATTAACCTTGCTTGGGTCTTCATCTAGGATGAAGCTCTTTGCTTGATCTCAAGATCAAAAATGGAGTACTATGATTTGCATTGTTAGATGGAAAGGCTCAACAAGATAGGGGATGCAGTTTGCCATGAACTCAGGGGGCTCAGGGGTTGGAATGAGGAAGCATTCATCCTTGAATGTAGGGAATGAAATAAAAAAATAAATCTTGATAAATGTTAGGTTTGCTTCACTACTTTGAACTATGTACATTCAGAAAAATAGGTCCATAAATATTTAGTGGAAGTAAGCTCAGAATGTGAGCTTTCTTTTCCAGTGGAGCAGGCACAGCTTGACATCCTAGGTGACAGGTAAATAATTAGGCCAAAGGGTTCACTAACATTATTAAGTCAGGGTTCAAAAAGCTTCCAGTGTGTCTTTTTACAACTAGGCCTGCTGCCCTTGTCGGAATTGAGCACGTTATTGTTAGCTTGCAACCTCTTTAGCCTGTAAGTTTGAGTCTCTGTTGAATGATGGAAGAACAAAACCAACATGACAATATTTGGCTTCTCATACAGTGCTGGCAAACTCCAATGATAATAATCAGCATAGGTCAGTATCATTCAGTAGAGCATGAGCTCAGCTCAGACAGATATTGCCCACACTGGAAATTTTTTATCTGCTTTTGAAAACTGATGATTTTGTCTATTCCAGACCAAGTGTTTCTTTCTCTTCTCCAATGCCTCCAGACCTAGAGCCTATCATGAGTCTTTTCCTCCTTACTGTGAAAGTTTGACCAAAGATGTTTCTGGTAGCATAAAGGAGCTAGCAGTACTGGCTCACTGCATTCATTGGCTCTGGACAGATCAGAAATGTCATCATTACCACAAAAGTGGGTTTTCAGCAGCAGCTATTCTTTAATTCAGTTGATACATGAGTTTAAGTTGTCTGCAAAGTCTCTAAAGTGCAAGGATATCATCTTGCCACCTTCTTTAAAACTAATCTTGTGAATAATCTCCTAAAATCTTCATTGTGGTCATGATAATTGCATATTGATTTGTAAAGTATCCTAATCTTATCATCAGCCTACTGTGCACAAGACCATCAAACACAGGACAGTGCATGCAGCCTGCTCCTATGCTGATGAGTCCAGCAGCAATACATGCTTGATGTATTCTTTAACCCATAAATAAAGGTTTGGTTGTGTTTGGGAAGAGGAAAAGTGCTAATTAATATGTAACAAATAGGAGCTTCCTGGACACTTTGCTGTTAGCTTTTAAGCAATATAGCTAACAAATCAGGATTAATTCAGACTTCTTTCCTCAAATTAGTGCAAGATGATACATAAAGATACTTGTTGGACCCCACTTGCACTTTGATTTCCACCTGTGATGGAATCACGAGACTAGTTTTCCAGGAACTGAGCTAAGAAAATAAATAATCAAATAAAAATAAACTGGATTGGAGAATAACCTCTAGTTAACTTCCTAGAAATAATTTGGGGCCAAATAATTTTTGCTATTACACCACTTTTAGGGATGAAACTGACTTCAATACAATTATTTGAGAAGTACAGTTACACAGCCAAAAGGCAAAGCAAGCTATCATTTTCCCAAACACAAAGAACTAGATTTTTAAAATGAACTCAGTGTTTCCTTTCTGAGTTTCCCACTCATCTCCCTGTAATCTGTGGTTAGTGAATTTTTAAATTCATTTTTAAGTTCATTCGTGTGGCAGATCCCTTAGTGTATGGATTTAGAACCCTAATGCAGGCTTTTTCTTCAGCAAATTCTGACTTTGCTCTCTAATCTACTCTTTGGATACAATAGCAATATTTATTTTCTATTAACAAGCAAGATTAAACAGATTTATTCTAATTAGCAGGTAACTTCACTGTGTTGTGTTTTAAAACAGACGGTACTTTGGTGAGAAAATTGGGCTGTACTTTGCCTGGTTAGGCTGGTACACAGGGATGCTCTTCCCAGCTGCCTTCATTGGATTGTTTGTCTTTTTGTATGGAGTCACCACTTTGAACCACTGCCAAGTCAGGTAACGTGGGCACTTTTATAAGGGAAATTACAGCTGTGAGTTCTTATGAATAATTTAAGAGATCTTCATATGAATTGTTAATTATTTCATTTTGAACTGTTGAATGAATACTCAGGAAGACCGCACTTGATTCTCATAAGGTACTCAGTATTGAGCTTTCCTTGTTTTGTGTTCCTGGGTTGGGATGGGAGGCAACGTTTCTTGCCCAGTGAGCTGGCATGGGAGGCAATGTTCCTTGTCCAACTCCAGTTGCCAATGGTGCTGGCAACACAGCATGAAGTAAGAAAAAATGTAGGGCTCCTTCATTGCTGTCCTAACAGGCCAGCAGAAGAGTGGGGAATTTTCACCTTCTTCAAGGCCTTTCCCAAAGATCCACCACAGGCTGGCATTCTTCAGATGAAGAACCCCTCGGACTTTCTGCTGCAGGCTGCATCTCTACATTCTTCCACACTTAAGCCACAAGAATAAATCAAACAGTGTTATCTACAGTCATCCTCACCCTCCTCCTACCAAAGCTCACTTCTGACTCAAGGAGAAATTGGAAAGGTTAAGGAGCTGGCCTTGAAAAGCTGTCCTCTGCAGTTATGACTGTAAACTCTGAAGTCTTAGACAGTCAATAAATATTAATTATACATGTGCGGTTATCATACAATCATAGAATGGTTTGGGTTGGAAGGAACCTTAAAGATCATTGAGCTCCAACCATGGGCAGGGACACCTCCCACTAGATCAGGTTGCTCAAAACCCCATCTCACCTGGCCTTGAGCACTTCCAGGGATGGGGCACCCACAACTTCTCTGGGCAACCTGTTCCAGTGTCTCACCATCCTCACAGTAAAGAATTTCTTCATAATGAACATATAGACTTCAGTTACAGAACCAGTATTGTTCAGTAGGTAACTGAATATTAATGAAACTTATCAATGCATTTTAAGACTGATTGTTATGTATCAAACTATTAATTTCTGTGTTTTCTGTTTTTCCAGTAAAGAAGTCTGCCAAGCTACAGATATCATTATGTGTCCTATATGTGATAAGTACTGTCCCTTCATGAGGTTGTCAGACAGCTGTGTTTATGCCAAGGTACGTTTTAAACTATGCAAATAGAAATGTGTTATGGTTTGAGAAACCCACAATATTTTATTGTCATTTAGACAATTATTCTATCACCCAATGACCCCTCCCCACTGGGAAGGGAATCAGAAAAAAATCAAAGAAAATGAAGCGCTAAAATATAAATAGATTTAATAGAATAAGACTAGATAATTAACATTAATAATACTAAAGAACCAATATTGATCCCAATACCAATGTAAAATACACAAGGGTTATACTCAGCCCATTTTATCAGCAGGAAGCTGTGCACTCCCAGCAGTGGACAGCAGAGTCAGACACTGCGAGCACTACAGCTTCGGGGGGAAAGGAAGGGCTCTGGGGTCCAGCACCAGGGCAAGAAGTTCTCTGGATTGCCACTATCAAAGAGGAGAGAACTTCACAGAAAACCTTCTAGTTTATGTTGAATGTGATGATCATGATATGAAATAATCTTATTGGCTAGCTTGGTTCAAGTGCCCAGGTCTCACTCCTCTTCATCACCACACCTGGCAAGGCTTGAAAAGACTGAAACCTTGAAACCCACATAGCCCAGCTGCCTAGAGAGTAAATATTTTCACAAATTCAGACACTAGAGTCTTCTAAAAGTGCAGTTTCCCCAAGCATTATAAGATAAATTAGTCCTGTGTCATTCAAACCAGGACAAAATGCATTCCTGGTAAAAGCATTAATTTTGCCTTTTGAATTTGTCTTTAGTGAGCTTGGGTAGATAAAATCTTCAAAGTACAGATCAAGTTCAGTCAATATTAACATTCATTGTCTTTTACCAGGACTTAGTTTGGGTTGTAAAGCACTCAAATGTAATTTGCACTTAGAGATTCAGCAGCCCCAGAGGTCATGTCCTAGATCATAGAATAGAATAGAAACATAGAATAGTTTGTGTTGGAAGGGACATTTAAAGGTCATGTAGTCCAACCTCCCCTGCAATGAGCAGGGACGTCTTCAATTAGATCAGGTTGCTTAGAACCCCATCCAACCTGACCTTTATGGTTTCCAAGGATGGCATCTACCACCTCTCTGGGCCACCTGTGCCAGTGTTTCACCACCCTCAATTGCAAAAATTCTTCCTTATATCTGGTCTAAATTTACCCTCTTTTAGTTTAAAACCACTACCCCTTGTCCTGTTGCAACAGGCCCTGCTAAAAAGTTTGTCTCCATCCTTCTTATAAGCTCCCTTTACATACTGAAATGCTGCAATAAGGTCTCCCCAGCCTGAATAACCCTGACTCTCAGCCTTTCCTCATAGGAGAAGTGTTCCATCCTTCTGGTCATTTTTGTGTCCCTCCTCTGGGCCTGCTCCAACAGGCCCGTGTTGGATGCATGTGTTACAGTGCCCTTGGCATGTACCATTACCTGATGATCCATCCTTTTATGTGGCTCCATAAAATCAATGTTTTGGGTCTGAAGTAATGGTCACACATGGTGTTGGCAGGGGTCAGTCCCAGGCCAGGCTGGCAAATAGTCCTGTCAATTGACAGCTACATTTCAGACATCAAGGGAAGGATCCTGCTTCACTCATGATCACATTAATTTTATTAGGTGAAAATTGAAAATAAAGCCTTATTATCATAAATTAATCACACTATTGATATATCCCTCAGGTAACCCACCTTTTTGACAATGGAGCGACTGTCTTTTTTGCTGTTTTCATGGCGGTGTGGGGTAAGTTTTTGTTTTGATATTAAAAAATTTAATAATTATTTGTGCAATTAAATAATTGCACAATCTTCTTCTTAAAGCTTATAATGCAACATAGGAAAACTCTGATTAAATAAATGGCAGATTTAGTTGAATGAAAAATTGATCTGAGAGTGGTCTAACTGTTGCCATGGCGGCTGAATTTTGCCTATAAGACAGTTGTATTTCCAGCTGAACTATTTTTCCTACTGTGGTCTTGTAGGCAGAATTGAAGGCAAAAGAAAACAGTAATTTATGGCAACACAAAATGGCTCCCAAACATGCCCTGAGCATGCCCAGACTCTCAGCTACTACCATTCTGAGAGAAGGATAACACCTGTAGAAAATGGCTGAATGAGATGTCTCAAATATGGCACCCGTCTCACAACTCCAGGTGCTTGAGCTATCCTGATTTAGCCATTGGTCTCCTGTTCTTGCTCACACATCTCCAACTGCTTTGGAAAGGTGTCTAAGTAATTCTTATAGTCTCAATTTTAAACTGTATATCTCTTTAGTGAGCCACAAGAGATATCAGGAGCCAACATCAGAGCTATCAGGACAACATAGATTAGCCCAGCAGTCTGTCTCAGTTCCTTCCTCCAAAACTATGTTTTTGTCTTAGTTAACTAATTAAATTAGGTCATATACCAGTCAAACCTATAAATGCCATTACATGTAATATTGACAGTATTAAAATATCACAAATTACATTAGGCAAAAAATCCAGATTGTACAGATTTTCTGTTTCCCCTTGGTATTTCAGCTTTGGTTTAGAGCTACACCAATGCTGAGAATCACCAAAAATTTCTAAGCCTTAAAGATTTTTTTTTAGATAGTTATTCAGCTTTTCCAACCTCTATGTTTCTATGTGCTCACTGAAGTTGAGAATTTCCAAGACAGTTTAGAGGCGCAGACTTGCATCTCAGCTAGGAAAGTTGATGGGTTAACGTTGTTCAACATTATGTCACAGTTCCTAACTGCTGGTGAGTCTTTGGAGTGCAGCTTTTTACACCAGTGCTTTTGCTCCTCCTTAGCAGTAACACTGCTTTCAGGAAGCAGCTATGCTCCAGCATTGGACTTTTGTTTTAGCACTGCTCAGAACCAGGGCTCTAGAAAAAGCAGCTTTAATTAAGGTAAACTCCTGTAGCCATGCCTGGTCCTGTCTCATGGTTGCTAGAAGGCAGCAAACTGAGCATGCCTGCCTGCAAAATCTTGTAGGTTCTCTCTCTTTCTGTCCCTAGCTGACAGGAGCTGCACCTCGCTTTGGTTAGCTTCTCCTTCCTCCCACTCCTTCAGCATCACTGTCAGACTCCGAGGCCAAATTGCCTCTGGGGATATCTCTCCACCAGCCTGCTAGGACATAGAAATGCAGTGCCTGTCCTTGCATCTCCAGCACCTAAGCCCAGAGAGGGATAAGAAAAAATTTAATAAATGCAGACCTCTGGACGATTTGGCTAGTGGAGAAGAAACTATAGGACAGCAGCTTTCCCCACCACTTTTGTTGGCTTACACTGAGCTTGTGATCTTGGTGCCAAGAGGGATGTAGAGGCAGCAACAGGAAAGAGGTTGTGAGTAATGGTAATGGTTTGGGGAATGGGGTGACCCTATGGCTCCACCCAAACTGTAATTTCTTAAATAAGACTTTGCTGAGACGACAGTGACATTTTGGAGGTACTTTCCATACAGTTAGGGCTAAAGCAGCATTAGAACAAGGAAAGCCACACTTTCCAAGGATTTTCTGGTACTGTGTTTATGAGCTGGCTTGCTGCCTGTCTTAAATGGATTTTCAGTCAGCAGTAGGCCTATTGGCAGCTGCAGGCATTACCATCATCTCAGTAAATCGTAGGGGAAGAGAAGAAACAATGATAGCAGTTTGATTGTGAAAATGCTTTTTCTGTCAGCACGAAACAACTGGCAAGTGCATGACAAATTGGCTGTGAAAAGTTCAGCCTTCTAGATGATCCAATTTGGCAGACAGTAGCATATAAAATAACGATGGCAGTGCTTTTAAAAAAAAGAGGATGAAAGCAGAAAAAGGCAGCTAGAATTGTGCTATGTCTTTAGCTTGAGCTTAGCCACTGCCTTATTATCTAAAGTACCTTCTTCACGGTCTTTAGATCCCTTAGTGAAGTCCCATCTTGAGGGAGAAGCCTCAGCCATTTGCTTGGGGTTTTCAAAACCAGGTGTGGTCAGGTTGGGCTTGCCATGAAGAGGTGGTCTGTATAATGATTTCCTTCTTTTACTCTAAAGAAAACTTTAACTGATGGACAAAGTGGGTTTCTTACTTTTTAAACAGAAATAAAATGCTTCTCCAAATGATGAGCAAACTGCTGTGGCCAGGCTTGAGAGAGAAATTACCGTGACAAGTATCAGTATGAGCTACTTGATTTGTGGACCAGCAATGAGCCTGGCTGTAGGACTCTGAAGCACAGAAACCATCTTTTATAATGCTTCATTGTGGGATAAGTAGGTCCTATCAAAATAAGGATTAAATTGTCAAGTGTCCCAGGAGAAAATGGAACAGAAACACATTTTCTTCAAAAGATATATTGACCCATTTATTATTGAATTTCTCACTTACTGTGTTTCTACCCTGTTTTAGCAAAGTCCTTTGTAAGAAGTAAAAATAATTGATATAATAGGAAAAAAACTTGATACTTACTAAGGTATACCCAAAAGACATAAGACTTAAAACAACTTTCATTTTAAACTGATGTAGTGAAGTACAAAAGATAGTCTCACTTCAGTGCACTGAAGGTGTTCACTGGTAGTTTGTATAAGCTTTTCTGTATTGGAGCTTCTGTTGAAAGGAAAAACCTTCTCAAAAGGACCAAAGCTATAAACCTCTGTGGTTTATAGGAAACAATAAGTCCCCATAAACACTAATACATTTTTTTATTGATGAACAGATTGTCATTGATGCTCACTGAGACGTCAGCAGCAGCAGCAGCTCAGAAGCTGGAAAATAATTTTTCCTTTTGAGAATCTCCAGTCTTGATGATAATTTCCAGATGTTCAAAGCTTTCAAAAGAGAGGAGCAATAGCATTTTTTGTATTTCTGTGCTAGAGGGAAACACCTATACTTTGCCCTTCATGTGTGCCTTAAGATTCATGTTGAGTTTGATGAAGAAGTAGATCCTATTTCTATAAAAAACTCTTCTCTTTTTATTGTCTGAACTGGATTCTTACCAAAGACAGAAAATGAGAAAAAGATGTTCATTCCAAATAAGTGTTGGCATTTAAAGTGCAGAAAAAAAGACATTCTCAGAAAAAAATATTGGTAAATTTGATAACCATCACGTTGCTGTAAAGCCAGATGGAATTGTAGCTTTTGCTTTTGCTTTTCCAGTTGAAGTACTGGGGAAAGCTAGTGCAAAGATGTCCCTGTCCAGATGTTTCCTGAAGCTCAGTTACAAAGTTCTGTAACTGTCCAACAGGGGAATCCAGCTACTTATCCTTTCTGATGTTTTGCTAGAAACAGGGTGGGATGATGGCAGTTTCTCTGTCTCTCCATATCTTTCGGGGCTTAAAGAAAAATCCTTTTTGATATTTCTTCTTGTCTACCTAGAAGCATGTTTCCTTTGATAAAGGAAGTAGCTTTAGAACACTTGTTGAAAGGCGAAGTTGGGAGGGGAAAAAATGGCCCAGCATGAAGATTTAACACTTTTTTTCAGGCAGTAAGAAATGCCAACATGAAGCAATTTTTCTAAATATATGTCAGTCTAATCAAAGATATTACTTTCCTAGAAACCTTGCCTCTAGCATGAAATATTCACATTGATCTGCTCTCTGAGGAGACAGAATTTAAGGAAGTTTTTCAGCAATATTCTTGGAATATAGAATATATTCCAGAAGTCAGGATGGATGTATGAAACGGTGTTCTGAAATACAATAGGGACAGGATTTCTGAGAGAAGGTCAGGATTAAGCTATTTGCTGCAAGAGGCCGTTTGCATCACTAGACAGCATTACAACTTGTTTCAAAAACATCTGAGGAAATGATGTTAAGACAGCTGTTTGTACAAGTGGATGTTGAGGACTGAGCTGCAAGGTGCAGTTCTGAAGCAGGGCAAGCATAGTATAGAAAAAGCTAGCAAAAGACCTGGGAGTTAATGTCAATGAGAAATTCCAAATTCCAAGCAGGATTTTTGGAGAATTCTCAGCATCTGGTCTAAACATACCAACTGGAAAATGGGAAAACAATAAGTACAAGTGTGTCCTGTTGAGCTGCCAAAGTAAGAAAAGAATGCTGAAGTGTGAAGTGTTAGTGATTACTTGACTAGAAAAGCAGCAGAGAAATTTCAAAATACCAAACTGCTTAGAAGACCTCAGTAGTACAGTGAATCAATCAAAGATGGTTATTTATAGCACTTTTTAAAATATCTAGCAAGGGAAAAGTGTGTACTGACCTGAATAAAGGGAGAAAAGTGTAGCACAGTAAAAGCTAAAACGGCACTGTGCAGATAATCCTATTTGCAACTTAATGAATTGAAAATAGCTTTCTAAAGAAGGTTCAGTAACTGTACATGCTTACTCTGACAGGTGCTAAATATACTAAATATAATATGTATAGATTCCTCACTCCAGGTGTGTGAAAAGCAAGAAAGAAAAGAAGTACAGCTCAGCACCAGCGTATCTGAGAGGCTCATGCCTGTGGACTCATACGCCCACTCGAGTCCTGCTTCCAGCTACTTTTTGGAATGGAAACAGAGTGCTAGTAATCAATCAGGCTTGTTTTTCCCAGGTCTCCAAAAAGTGCAGGGCTGCTTGTTTCTCCTGTACAGATTAATTCAATATGAGCTGATAGGAGAGAAGCAGCTCCACCAGAAGACAAGTCAAGGAATGAACAATGTGGTGGTTCAGCAGCAGCAGAGTCTCATTAGCACTTACTAGTTTTGCTGATCCCAAATGATCATACTGCAACTATTACAAAAAGTCATAGGCACATTAGGCTCAGGAGATTGAATTGACTTTATTAGTTTTAATCAAAGCAGCTGATTACCTGGTGTAAGGTAACTCCAGCTTTCAGGAAAAGAATGATGTGATATATGAAAATGCCTTCAAACCAAATAGCTGTCTCCTGAAACGTGCTTTTGGTATCTTACCTTATCTGCTCACAGTGTTAATTTTCTAAGTATATCTTAGCTGCATTGGCTAATACATTAAAATATAATAACTCTTACTGGATAAAAATTCACTTTCACTAAACTCACACCAGTGCTTAGTATCATGTCATGTCACTATCGATATGCTGCAATAGGGCAGATAGTCTATTAAGGAGATCCTTTTAGGATTTGATGTGGAACATATTGCCAGGCTATTGTGACATTGTTACAGCTGATACTGTGCAAGCTTATGACAAAGAGGTTTATGTTCTCTGTGGTTATCAGCCTGATGCTTTTCAGCAAGCAGTGAACGGAAGAGCCAAACCTCACAGTGGAAGAGGAAGCTTTTCCATTGATTTGTGTTTGGTCTTTTGACCAAAAAAAATTAAAAACCCTCTATCCATAAACAGGCTCAGTATTAATCTCCAGAACATGAACACATGCTTCTATGAGTGAGTGCTTCCTTCATTGTTCTTTCCATTCACAAAATGGAAGCATAGTCGTGGAAAGCATAGTTGTGTTTCGCATATTATACTGTCTTGAACTCTGTCAGTAAGGGCTGTACAGCACAGAATGTTTAATTGTCAGCTGTTAATGCCACACCACATGTACACACTCATGTAGTGTAAAAGAAATTCTCTGGATTAGGATGGTGTAAAACAAAAGTTCCCATTTCCTCAGTAGTACTCTACAGATTTGCCCATGCACTGTAATGTACTTCCTTTGGGTTCTGGGGTTTGTGTGTTGTAAACGGTCTTCAAAGAAGGAAAGTTACTGTTTTATCTACAATGGCCCCAGGAAACCTTTAGCTTCATCAGAAATCTACTATATCTAGTAATGATGATTCACGGGAACAATTTTATTCTTTGAGAGTCCTCCCTTGGTTGGTTAGAAATTAAACATTCTCATTTAGCACTAAATGAAATCTCTAAAGCCTCAATCATACTTGAAATAAGCAAAGTAATCCTTAGAAAGCAATGCATTTTGAAAGCAGTTTTGATCATCAGCATGATTTGCTGTTCAAAGGAACCCATTTATGCAAAGGAATGAAAATAATGTAACTGCTTCATTCAACAGTTCTGTGATAGTAGTTAACGCTTTCTTGACTTAAAAACAATTTTGTATTTTTTTCTATTTGCTATAGCAACTGTTTTTCTGGAGTTTTGGAAAAGGCGGCGAGCAGTAATCGCTTATGACTGGGACTTGATAGACTGGGAAGAAGAGGAGGTTTGTATAAAAAAAATGTACTCCTTAATCTTTAATACAGAAAGATTTGTTTAAAATATAAGCATGTTTTTGTCTTCTATTTATTTTCAATTCATTCCTAAAATCTTCATAAACTAGGAAATTAGCATTTTTCTCCTCAGAAGTTCCCTCTGGAATGTGAAGAAACTTTCCCCAGGCCAAACTGTCCTCTCTTCTTACACCTTTGCAAATCCAAATTAATTTCAATTAATATCAGTGGCTGTCGTTGTGGGAGATTTCAGGGAAAAGATGCACTTTGGGGGAAGCTAACAAATTTTGCTTTGGCACCCAAGGAAATTCTTGGCAGCCCAGAGTACCATGAATTTTGGCAAATGGGTTTTAATCTATTCTTTTAGATAGCTACTAAGAATATTGATGGAGAGAAAGCCTTGTGAGGCTTGTACCAGCTTCTGAATGTTCAGGTGCTGGTTACCTAAGCATACAGTGCTGCAGAAAGACTGGGAGAGATGAAGCAACTCAAAGGACTTAATTCACCTCTGTTGTAGAGTAAATTCCCTTAGAGAACAAACTAAACAGTGAAAAATAACCTTAACCTTTTCTGTGGTAGTTACCAAAAAGCAGCAGCATGCTCTTGGGACTGAAACCTGAGGTCTAAGTGGAACTAGAAGGTTTTATTATGCAGGAGAAAAGAAAGATTCAGTGGGTATGGCAGAAAAAGTGCTTTCAAGTAGGATTTGGATGTACAGGTGTCCACAGAGTCTGCTCTCCTTCCTCTCCAGAGACTGTCCTGAAGCTGTTGGAGGGACTGTAAGAGCCTGCCGTAGTGGTCTCAAAGCAGTTGAATTTCTATATTGCTGCATCTGTGGAAGAATTTCTTTTTCATTAATCTTGCCAGCAAAGGAACAGACTTCTGAGTTACGGGAGTTTTGTCTCTATGAGACAATGTAGTTCAATGAGGCCATGAAATAGTACAATTGCTCATTTGCTGGTAGGATTATTTTTTTAATGCTTAATGACTAAGAAAATAATCCAATAACATAAGATGAAATAACTTACCCAACTGGAAATTGGTTTCTTTATGGCAACAGGAACATCATTATTTGTGCACATATGCTGTCAAGCCTTGGTGATACTTGAGGACTTTTTTCATCTGTTTAGAAAACACTCTGGTACTGATTTAACTCTCCTGAGATTAGCAGGCTGCTCTTGCCAATGCTGACGAATCACAGAGAGACCACACTGAGATAGTCCTGCCTGAGGTTCAGATATTGATCAGGATTGAACTGCAGTGATCTTGTCACCTCATGGCTAGTTGCAAAAAAGCCACTGTTGCTGACACCTAAGTTAGAAGACAGATGTACCAAAATGCAATTTCCAAATCAGGATTACAGTTCATCTAACAAAATACACAAGCAAATACATTATGAGGCCCTTTTTATATTTTTCCCAGGAAGCCTGGTCTTGCAGATGCTTATAATTTGGGATGTTATATATCTGCACCTTTTACCATTTAACTTTCCTGGATCCGGGGTTTATGCTGTTTTATAAACCCATCCATCTGATTTTTTTGGTTTTTTATGATCAGTTAATCTACCAATATTGAATATCCTGTTAAAGAAGTTGTCCTTAACTGATGCTTTGCTTTTTACTTTCTTCCTCCCCCCACCCCCCGACTCCTCCATGTAATAATACTAAGTGATTTCTGGCTGTTGTGGTAATGCTTGGAAGAGTCTTTTGCTCAGGTGTGAGCACAAAAGCTCCAAGCCATTCAGAATCAATCCCCATTCTATTTCTTTCTCTTCTTCATGCACATGCCCACAACTCTGTTTGCAATGTTGCTGCTACTACTAAAAGTACATATCCTCTTGCAGAGCCTGGATAAAAAGCTTTCCCATGGAAGATTTGCTCTCTTCTAAGCTCTTCTGGAAGGGCATTACCAGGTCTATCCAACTAAGCCTTTAGCTGGAATAAACACTGCAAAGACAGAAGAGAGTAGAGTTGCTAGATTTTTCCTCTTCCACTCAGAAAACCTGTAGAGCTTCTGGTAGTTGAAACTATCCTCATAGAAATGTATTGTGTTTATTTTATGATGTCTATCAAATAACATTATTTTTTCATAAGAGATGATTATGTCCCACTGGCAGATTATTTCAGTTTGGCCTGCAGGATGACATAGCACGACTGTAATTTTCAGAGGATACCTGCTCCCAGCTGATGGTCAGCTGGTCTTTTATTCTCACACCAGGCTTTTTGCAGTGAGCTCTGACAATAAGTCCTTATTCAGGTGCCCTAGGGCAGTTTTGAGTATACCTGCTCCAGAGCATCTTCTCCCAGTTCTAGAGGGAGTGTTATAAGTCTCTACAGCAGGAGGTAGCAGCCTTTTCAGAAACTGCCAGATGGTACCTTTCTCTTTCAAATTAGAGGTTAAAGATGCCAATTGGAATTCAACTGGCTGCTTCTCAAAGATTTATGTGACCAGTCATCAGAACATCAGTATCTCATTGGCATTTGAAGCATCAATTCCTCCTTTGTTCAGCGTTCAGTGGGATCCCAAGGGTGGGAGCTGACGGTCTCCCCGAGGTGTCTTCTCTGAAGATGCTACAGCTGTCAGTGCCCATACCTACTGCACAACTCCAACATGTCCTTGCTTTGAGGTCAGCTCTATGGACCAATGCTTCCTCTTCTTGAGTATCAAATGCTTCACTTTTTCATTGGTGCTGGGGTCTTTGCAGGACTTTGCCCCTGAGACTGTCACAGCTATGGAAGCAGGTGTCCCAGCTGAAAAAGTGTTGAGATCATTTTCCTGTTCTGTGGGTCACAGTCCACCCCCTCACTTTACCATTGCCTTCAACTGCAAGCAGGATTACCTGTAAACCACATGCTTTGTAAGGAAACATACTACTGGGAGTGCTATCATTGTCCCAGTGATCAAGATTCAGATTTTCAATTTTTTACAAATCCCTTCTCTACATCTGGGATATAGACTACCAGGAAGGATAGGACTCCAGCAAGAATTCACCTGTTGAAGGACTCAGAAACCTCCTGAAAGAAAAGGATATATTTCACAAATAAATTTAGAGTAGCTTTTCTAGTGCAGAAAGATCTGGCCTGAGGCAGTGCACATTAATCCACATTTGATACCCCAGAAATCAGTGTGGTTTCTCCTGTGAGTAAAGAATTGGAATTATCCATGTTTGAGAAGAAAGAAGGAAGGAGAACAGTCTGTTTTGCGTAGATTGAAAAAAATCACATCCTGTGGAGTTTGATCATGAAGTTGCACATGTCAATGAGATCTCGGTGCGAATTTTGTCTCCATAAGGTGAAAATTTTACTCCTAAAAATGCTACTTTCTAATAAAGCCACTGCTAATTAAATTTCCTCTCTATATTCTATTCAGTTATCACTGGACAAAATCAGCCAACTTCTTTTGTTAGCTATTTCAAAGAAATCAATTAAATAGTTCTAATTATCATTGTAAGTCACAAGCTTTTGTTAGTGAAGATTGGTATTTTTATTAACATTTCCTGCCATGTCTAGCTTTCACTTGCTTTAATTTTCATTGTCAAATTGAAAAATAAGATTTTGTTACAGAGGGCAATGTATTAATTCCTACCAACAATAGATTGGAAAAAAAGAAACATTTATAAGGCTTCCTGTCACTTTGCTATCACTTTTCTGTTCTAAATGAAGAGATGAAAAATGAAACAATGAAGACGATGGGAAGGAGAATTCAATTTGTTCAGATATGCAATTTTGTGAATTCCGCATCCCTTGAGCTTTTCACCCAAGGAAGGCATGCCCCAGCCCCTGCAGCGTCCAGGTGCCCCAGGCCGGGGACATGGGCTGAATGTGTTCTTGGTCTTTCAACCCTCCATATCTGGATTTCCTTTTTTGTAAATGAGATGCAAAACTGGGCACATGGAGAGTACCTGGGTCTTGGTTGAGTGTGCAACAAGAAGCCAACTGCTCAGATTTCCTGGCACTCCCAGATGAAATATGGCTTCTATAGCTATTTAGAGCGTACTTTTTTTGTCTTCAGTGTCACTTCCTTTATACCATTAACCTCCGCCAGATACAGCACTGTTCAATTCCTGCCCCAAGCTGTGCTCAGCATTGCTGAGTGTCAGTAAACAGATGCTGAAGGTTCATGCCATAGTTTCAGTTTTGTGTGGAGATTTGTATGTAAAAATAGCATTTGCATTATCTGAATTGATGGCAGATTGTAGGAGACACCTAGATTCACTGATGGGCAGATATGATAAGGATTTCCCTGTAGTGCATATTGTAAAAGATAACCAAACCTTGGCATAGAGGGAGCTGCAAAGAAAGGGTTTCTTGTATATGACTCAGCAAGTCAGCTGGCAAAGCCCTTGCACAATCTACAGCGTGCGATTCTCAAGTGCCCTGCGTCAATGCTGTCACACTGTCCTCTTGCATGTCCCTGGGCATGCAGGAATACCACTTGCGTTGTTTCTTTTGCTCAATTATGGTCTCCTCAGCAGCCTTCAGCCCTGATATGGCAGGAACAGCTTGAGCAAGGTACAGTATGAGCAAGGTGTTACCCTGCCTCCGCAGAAACACCCTTAGCCTTTGCAGCTGAGCATACACGCCCCTTAGCTTTTTTTAATACCATGTTACCAGGTTGCTGCTTGAATTCGGAAATTAACCGTATTGAGAAAGTGCCTTAAAAATTTGAGAGAATGAAAATGAGACATTAATTTATTATTTTTTTTCCCCAGGGAAATTTTATAAAAAGGATTTAGGATTTCAGAATATCTTATTTTTATTCATATTCTAAAGAATTGTATGAGCAATTAACATTCACCTATTTCAATGCAGTCTGGTCATTTACAACTTTCAGTCAGTCTAAGTTCAATTAAATGCAGTTGAAGGATTGGAAGTGACTGAAATTGGTAAGCTGGGATCTTGGCTGTTACAAAGAAATGCACAACAGAGGCTTGGTGGGAAATCTGCAAAGACAGTCCACAGCTGCCTTTGTTCTCCCTTTGTAGACAGCTATACTGTGGCCCAGTTCTCCAGCATTCATCAGAGCACTGTAAAACTTCATCTAATGTTTAGGGACTGCCAGCAGCTGTGAGAGTCCATCTTCGCAGCCTGGTGTTTTCTTTTTTGTCTAACAGCATCCTTGATGTCAGACTTGAGTGAGGCGGCACAGGACACATGGCTGTTGGTGAACCTCCTAGATGGCAGGGCAGTGGGGTACCTCTACTGCAGCTGAAAACCATGATGTCTTACTTGAACTAAGAGTGAACCCTGTCTTCTGACAAGGCTGTAAACAGATGTCACCAAGCCTCATCCTAAGAAATCCCCAGGCTTCATTTCAGAACAGTTTTCACGACAAAGCAGGACTTGACATTTCTGCTGCTGAAAGCTGTTCCTGCCAATAATGTTGTGCAAGTTAGGAAGGAATTGAGCAATATTAGATGGCATGGTTCCTTCTTCAAATGGTGAGAAACTTTTGCTGATAATACAAAGGTAACCAATTACCTAGTGAACAGCAATTGGCTTTGGAAAAAGGAGCCATTGGGTTTTTTCCTTTTCCTTTTCTTGTAAAATTCCAGTATCAATAGGACAATACCACGCTGGAAAACTTTGTGTTATCAACCTTAAAATGATTTGGCTTACAGCCACAAGTTTGAAAGACTACTGTTTAGATGAGTAGCTAACTGGGAAGTTGAATAAATACTTCCAGTATGATTTTATGGGTATGGTGATTTATTCTGGGTCTCATGAAGGAGACATGTTTTCCCAGCTCAGCTTTTATGGTAGCTGTGCCAGCTGCTTAATTCAGATGTAATTCCCAGTAACAGTGATCTGCTAAATGCTCTGAAATTTCCTACAGAATCTTTCCTACCTGTGCTGTACGTGAACATTTTCTGTCTGTTCTTTAGGAGGAAATACGTCCACAGTTTGAAGCCAAGTACTCCAAGAAAGAACGAATGAACCCCATATCCGGAAAGCCAGAGCCTTATCAAGCATTTGCAGACAAATGCAGCAGGCTCATTGTTTCTGCATCTGGAATATTTTTTATGGTTTGAGAACTTTTATTTATTTACCACTTGAAAAAATACAAAATAACATTATCTCTGCCGAGAGAGTATGGGGATATTGGATATGATTGCTTGACAGAGAAATAAGCTCTAGCATATTTACTGCAGGCTGAAAATCTGCACACAGCAAATCGTTTGAACTTCAGTAAACTCCTACACTAGTTCACTCTTCACTGAGCCTCACATTTGTTTAAGTCTTTCCTTCGACGTCCAGATTCAGGAGTACTATTAAAGCTATACACATAAGGTTATATGTAGGTATACACATGCCAGAAAAGTGAGGCTATCACACAGAAAAGTGAGGCTATCACCAACTTCAGCTGTCTGAATTAACTCCCTGATTTCTTTGCCCTCCCTGTTTAGACAGTGCAGAGTGATGGGGAGAGGCAGTTGTTCTTTGTAGACTCTACAGAGAACCTAAGGTGCCTAGAGTGCTTAATGATGTCAGTATCTCTAGTTTTTCAGTGTATTGCCAAGGTAAGGAAAGAGGCTTCATATTCCTAGTGCAATTGAAATGGAGAAACCGATGTTCCTTGTGTGAAATGAGGCATCTCTCCATCTTCCAAAGCGCAAAACTAAATGCAGCAGCAAAATCTCTCTTAACAGAGAGCTGCACACATTTCTGCTGAGATGCCTCCATCCTCTAACTTAACTGAATCTGTTTGCTGTTACTCACATGACAACTGCAGTGATAGGATTGGTCTTGAAAACACAGTTAGCATCAACTCAGACCTGCATGGAATTTACTAGGGCTTTTCCAGGAGGGTAGAAAGTGATACATGTGTATAATGTGGGGAGGTGTGGAGAGGCAGGTAGGTGAGCTAGCCCAGCAACTTTGTGCTTGAGTGAGATTGGAAGGAACAGGGCAGAGGCCTTATAAGAAGCTGATGGTTTCAAAATTGTTTGAGGCAGTGTTGGATAAGAAAGGCAAGAATATTATTGAGATGAACGGTACATTAGATGGATGGACAAAGATGCATAGAGAAACACTGGAAACAAGGAGCCAACGTACTGTCTGACTCAGCCCTTGAAGATACTTGCATCTGTTCAGGACTGCAGTCTCTTCTCAGAATTGATTCTACACCTGCGACATTTTGCATGTTTTCCCTATGTCTTTATCTTGAAGGGAGACAGCTGTCACTCCCTACCCCTTGCAGAGGCAGTCATTAATCTTCTTAGCCTGGTGATAGATCTTGCTCAAAGTGCCAGAGAGAGTAGCCTTGCTCTGAAATGTATGCACCACAAATTGTCCCCATAACAGTCCTCGAAACAGGACCAGTATTATTTTCACTGAAGATATTTTGTATCGCTGGTATAGCATAGGCTCCCAATGAGTTAGAAAAAACACTGAATTTTTTCCCCATTTATGTAAAAATATTCCTTAAAAATTACAGCTTTAAGGACAGGAGATATATCCTTAGCAAAACTTCAAGTTAGAGCAGTTTTCAAAATTTTACATTGTTGACACGGTGCAGTTACTAATACAGCTTCAATCGGGTCAGTGATTCCCTGTTAAGAAAGGAAAGCTCAACAGGTTCTTCCTCTCAATGCTATGCAGGGAATCCCGAGACAGGCCTTCACATTCACACACACTTTTATTTTTCTTCTGCACTGCATTTTTCCCATTCAATTAGCTCAGCTACACTTCAATTTGTATAGGTTTATGTTGTCTATGCATAACTTTGGAATACATTTGCAAATAATCATGTGTCTACTACTGAAGAAACTCTCCTTATCTAATAAGGTAATTAATGGCTACTGTGTCAAGTTTCTATGAGTCATGCCTACTAACTCCCAACTGTTTGTCCTTTAGGTGGCTTGCTAAACCATGGCAAAAATTGGTCACAATGGAAAAGAGTTGCCATTTAGTGCTCAACTGTTGTATATGGAACACAAGTCATTTAGCAGCCAGCTCAGCTGTGTGGCTTTCACATTTTAACTGTCACATTTGCTGAAAGTCTCATCAAAGAAGAAATTACAAGGGCAATTGTATTTGTTACCTTCCCTAGATAGAATCGTTTCCAGAACTGTAGAAAGAAACAGTTTGTTAGGGTAGCTTTCCAGGGTTGATGTTGAGGCAGTGCTTACAAATGGAGACATTTTTTCCTGTAAATATAAAGTCCATCAAAGCACAAAATGCATCTCAAATATGACACCATCAAGCTGGAACATCAGCTTGAGACTAGCCTCTGCACATTGGAGAACATACATGTACAGAAATTTTCTAATTCCGAGAGCCGGCAACACTGTTTCCCTCAATAATGTTATTTTGAAGAAAATGTTTAAAACCAAAGATTATTTTAATATGATTTATATATATTTTGCATTATGGAAAATAAAAAGTATTTCACAGTAAGAAGAATATTCATGTTGAAACCTTTATCTGGAATTAAAATGGATGTATTTTTCAAGTCTTTAATTGTTTTAGTTTTCAGAGTTTCAGGGAGAAGTTAAACTCCTGTTCTATTGAAAGTTTTCAGGTTCTTCTCTTTGATTTTTTCTTCCTTTAGATCTGTGTGGTGATTGCTGCTGTTTTTGGCATTGTTATTTACCGTGTTGTGACTGTCAGCACTTTTGCTGCCTTTAAGTGGGCTTTAATCAGGAATAACTCTCAGGTTGCAACTACAGGGACTGCAGTGTGCATCAACTTTTGCATCATCATGCTACTGAATGTGGTGAGTAGTACCAACATATCCAAAGTTATACCCTAGCCATCAGAATAGTAGATATCTCGGTCTGCAGACCACCAAATGCTTTCGGTTCCTTGTTCAGCAGGAATGGAGCATCTTGTTAAGGCAGACATGGCATTATTGTTCATGGACATTATTCACTATTTATGTAAAGTACAATAGAAGACCTAAAACACTACATAAAACATGTTTGTATGATCTAAAAAACATTTTAAGGAGACATGTCCGTACTTCTGTTTTATCCTCTGCCTCTTTTTTTTTCCTTTCATATATTTGCAGGTTTTGGTCCATTAATATTCTTCTTTTTAATTAGTGTTTTAATGTTATTTTTTAAATACAGTGGCCAGTCTTAATTCTTATTTATACTAGTTTAAGTAACTCCAGCTTCAGTTTTCCCAGTAGTTTACCAGTTAGGATATGCAAATACAAGCACAATGTCTATATGCAGGAGAACTCCCTTGGGCTGAAAACTTCATGAGGCTTAAGCAGACATGACTTGTTCCATGAGCTGCCAGTGGTGTTTGCCAGGGTATGCAAGAAACATGGTCAGGGTGCATTGTAGAGGTCTGGCTGGCTGAGGTCAGGTTATTGTTGTGAATTGGTTTGGAACCAAACTTGGGACAAAGACAAAAATTGAATTTCTATGTGGTAACAGCCCCAGTAAGACAGTGTAGGACAGATTAGATGGGGAATTCCTTCAAGATGCAGGTACTTCTGTATATTGCTGTGATAGCAATGTATCTTTTATTAGTTGCTCTTGGCAAGAGGTGTATGGCCTTTTACTATCAGGTTTTGGTCAACTGACATTATAAGAATGCATCTGTAGGATGAACCTACAAATCATCCAAGTTCTGGAGCCAGGGTGGATTATCTCTGCCCACTCAGTAGCAAGTGTCTTCTGCAAAAAACATACTAGGCTTTGCTTCAGGAGATATGCTGACTTGCCTCCTAGGGGAAGTATAAGATGGTATTTCAGGTCTGTACATTTCCAAGTGCTAGCTCAGAGGTTACTTTCTTTGCTGTACCCTTTGGCATAGGCAAGACTGCATAGGTGACGAGGACAGTCTATGAAGAACTGTTGACTTTCCTATGTTTTTCCTAAGGTGGGACTATAGGCTCAGAAAGGGCAGAAAGCTGAATTTGTATTCTCTCTGAATTTGTACCGAGAGCTCTCTTCTTTTATGTTATTTTTGATTTATTGTTTGTTGTCTGCAGCTTTTGGGGGTTTTCTTTAATCCACCAAGAGCACACAATAAGCATAGAAGAAATAAAAAGAAAACTATATTTATCTGTGTCAGTACAACATCCATTTCCAAGCTCTCGGTATAAGTCATTGTATATGCAGTGAAGCAGGACCAAAGAAATACTGCACAAACAAAATTATTTGGTTTTCAGAGTTTTACAGCTTAGAGGAATTTTTAAAATAATGGAAGATGGCTTGAAGGTGCCTTTTGAGAAACTTTGTTTTGTTTCCTAAAATATATCAAATAAATAGAGCACTGCAAATATGGATTTCTTAAGCCTTATACTCATTACCATGCAACAAACATCACTGCCTTAGATCTGGATATAGCTCATGGAAACAAAAGATCCCCAAAATATGAAACTGCATGAGCTTTTCAAAAGAAGCATTTAAGAACATAATCCCTCACTTCCCATGATGGATTAATGTAGTTTACTGAAGGACAGAAGTGGGATTTCTCTTGGGGAAAAAAATAAAAAATTCGCCAGGAGCAATTCAGGTAGTTGAATCCTCTATGAACTGTGACTCAAGAAAAGTAGCTGGAGAGCAAGCAAAGCTACAGTAATAAAACCAGAATGGACCAAGATGTTTATAACAGTAGGGAATTCACTGCTAGGAAGCCTGAAAAACCACCAGTGATTCTGATGTGAGTTGACAACCTCTCTAAGCATCAGGGGAGAGGTCTAGACCACAAGTAACTTCCAGACTGGATGCTCTGAGACCTCGGTACATACACTTACATATCCATCCTGACAAAACAAAATGACCTTCAAGCATAATGTCTGCCAGATAATCCTGCAGCCTGAAACAATCATTAGCTTTACCTGGGTTAATAAAACCTGCTAATTCCAGTGATATCACCAATAGAAAATATGAACACAGAACAGATTGTGATCCTAAACAAAGCCCCTTGGAACTGGCAGTAATAATCTGCAGTAGCAGATAATTAGATCCAGACATTGTTAACAGAATCTCTAAAACAGTCTTACTGTTCCAGGAGGAATAGCAACAAAATACAGTTTGATGCCCCCTTCTTCAGAGCAATGTACATATATAGAATAGCACACTCCCTGCTGGGAACAGGGTATAAATGACCAAACAATTAGGATTTGCACAGTTGCCCTTAAGAGATGCTTTTAAACCTAGAAGAAAGCACCTTTTTCATTACTTGAAACAAAACTGTTTACTCCAAAGGCAGCAAAAAGCTATTCTAAGCAAGAATTGGTTGTTAACACGGATGAGATAATTCAGGATGACTTCAGTTCTTAAGCAGACAGTGTGCTCTGTAAATTGTACATAACTCAATTTAAGCAAGAGTTTATAAGGATAGCTACAAATGAAAAGAAACATTGCTGATATGCACTTTAGGAATAAGTAAGTACTTAAGCCTGAAATATGATGAGCTTTGTATCCCTTTAGGCATCGATAAGAATTAAGGACATTTAGTGTTGTGTAGGAACAGGCTCCAGAATCATTTAAAGCAAATGGAAGTCATTGTATTAATTTACACTAATACTGATGTTGGTGGTGATGTACTTTATAGGTTCAAAAACTCTTTGCAAATACTAATTGTGAAAACCCTCCAAGTTAATTTTTGTAAGCTTTATGAAATTAGAAGTCTCCTGGAGAGTTTGAGAGCATGGTATATGCTAAGTGCAGAAAGTACCACTGGGGATATAGACCAATGTCACCGTGTCAGAGTAAGAACTGTGTCTGGTGGTGGGGATTACTCTAGACTTTCTCTGAAGCAACCCTGTCTCCCCAGTGTTTTTCAGCACAAAAGAATCCCAAACAAAACCAAAAAGGCCAAAATACCTAATATACCAGAGCATGCTCTTACTAGGGTGATTTTTTTTTTGTGAGACAAATGGTCCATAAGTAGCTAAAACAAAAATCTCAATTGTGCTATTGTTCTGCTTTGTGTTTTTGGAAAAGTTATCCAACCCTTTTTCATTGTGTATGTAAAATAGGGAGAGTGAAAGAATTTTTGTTCTCCGTATGTTGTGGATAAAAAGACCTGAGTACAAGCGTTAAAAATACTCTTGTTCCTTGTTTGATTATATCATTATTATATTATTACTATATAGTTTTATTATCATCACTATCAGAACATCATAGAGATCATCTGGATGTCAGATTTAACATGTAAGAACAGTTACTCTACCTAGAAAGCAGTTCTAGATTTTTGAGCTCGTCATGTATCTAAAAGGCTGTTTCTTCTCTGTTACAGCTGTATGAAAAAGTTGCTCTTTTCCTGACAAATTTAGGTAAGCAATGTTGAATACAAAATACCTTCCAACTCCTTACCCTGTAAGAATGTAAACAAATTGTTACCCTGGGAGAAAAAGGATGAGTTTTCAGAGAGACTGAACGTTCACAATCCCCAGGTTTTGTGAAGACCTGGAAATGGGGGAATCACTTCTGGAAGCCAAATTTATAGCTTGAAACTAAGGTACTTATTGTTATTGACTATCAAGGGCAGTAATTTGAAAGGAAAATAACTAGATGACTCATCAGCTTTACACCCAAATTCTAATGGTATTCTAAGCTTCTGTAATCTTTTCAGCTCACCCATAAAGGTGATGTTTATGCTAGAGTAAGGAGAACATGTTTTCTGAGGACAGCATGTATGGTCACTGTGGCAGCAACAGGCCATCACTCATATATTCATGGCTTAGGCAGAGTCTCTGTAGATCTTGGTCATGCTCGAAGATTGCAGTAGTTGGTGGCAACTGGCAAGGGCTCCTTAGCCTTAATAAGCCTGAAATGAGACTCTTGCTGAAGGCCTATTAAGCAAATCATAGTATGGTATGTGTAGAAGTGGTTTGATGAAATTATTCTGAGCTTCTGCATACCTGTGTACGTTGATGATGTTCAGTAAGGTATTTTGGACCAGGTGGACAGATTTTGGTGTCTTTTCAGAGGAAACACAGAGCTGATTTTAACTAGTGTCAGGGCTTTTCCATGTGTGGGAAGTCACAGCTGATGTGTTCAAAGTACATCTGTGTAAGATAGCATTTTATTCCGTTGTTTCTTATTGGACTGAGTCCTCATTTGTATGCTGTAAATTTAAAATAATTTTGCTGTCCCTTATCCAAGGAGAACATACCTGCTAGTTACGGTTGAAAAATATGACTTTCAAATATGTGATTTGCACAGGCTATACCATTTTAGTCCCTGTGACACCCTGGGGACACTAAGATATGGCCTAGAGACCTTGAAGTTTGATCACTTTCTGCCAGGTTATCATCAAGGTAGATCTGCTCCTTGTAGCCTGTACAGAAAGCACTTGTATGAAAGCTCAGTGAGTCAAGCTGTTCTGACAGTGTTCAGGCTGTTTTGTGGCTTTTACTCTGATGGCCTAAGTAGCTGATTTGGTTTGAATGATCTTTATCAGTGTAATAAGTTCAGAGTGGGATTGGCAGCAAAGCTACATTCAGGATCTCCTTCTGCCTTTACATGACCTTTTTCAGAGCTCACATCCATGCTTTTCAGAGCATTGCCATTGTCTCTGAAGGGCATATGAGCAAAGTTACAGCTGCAGCAACCTTGTTGAAGTCAAATTTGTCCTTCTGACAGACTGGCAAAAAAAAAAAAAATCTACAGTGCTTCATTTCTTTCTGCTTAGTTAAATATGTATGTACTGTCATACACACAAACTTGGGTTTCTTGACAGGCATTTCCAAATCACTAACAGTAGTTAATTTATGGTCTGATTTATGGTTTTGTTGATGCATCTATTTCCTCATGGGTAGGGTGGCTCTAATTAAAGAGAGTTCTGTACTTCCAGTACTTTAATCTGGAAGTAGTGTGAGTGCTAACATTGTGCTAGTCAGAGTCACCATTAATACCTCCACTTCTCTGATTACTCCTGTTCACAGCAGTGGTTAACTAGTAAGAAGCTCCTGCCAATGGAAAAGTATTTCTAGGATGTGGTACTTGTGTGTTGGCATAGAAGTTGTTTTGTTAACTTCTGTCTGGATATCTCTTTAGATGGAGATTAAGGGCCTACGTGAAGGGAAGAATGTGTCTTCCCCTTTCCCATTTGCTTTACCCCATCCATTGCAAAATATTTTTTTCTGTCTTCTGTGATGAGCTCTCTGGGACAAGGAAAGGGAATCATGCTGTGGCACTCCACTGATACCTGTGTAGAGTTCTTAGGTGACAGCATGGTGGGCAAGTCCATGAAACAGAATTACAAGGAGGATTTTCTCCAGTTCAGTGTGACGTCTCTAACAAAAAGGCACTTACACTGCTCATAGTGGGCTGCTTTCTGGCAATGTCATTATGGTAGGTTGCAGAAAAGGAAATGAGAAAAGCCTGAGCCTGTAAAGTACACAGGAATCCAGGAGGGATGTTTAATATACACATTATCTCAACCACTTTCTTACAGTCTTGTGGGAATATACATATTCAGATATCAGAGGAGATTTTTAAGAGTCTTTAGAAGCTCACTTGCTGTGTGCTGCTTTTTGGATACAGATTCTTCTGTCAGCTTATATTTTGAAACCAGCAGGCTAATTTACATATACTCTGCCATTTCTGATAGGTGCCTGCAGCCTTTGTGTGAAGAGAAATTGTTAATCTGATTAAACCTCTCAAACTGTGCTTTCTTTCTTCACAGAGCAGCCTCGTACCGAATCCGAGTGGGAGAACAGCTTCACTCTGAAAATGTTTCTTTTTCAGTTTGTCAATCTGAACAGCTCTACCTTTTATATAGCATTCTTCCTTGGAAGGTAGGATTGAGATCTGAACCCTCATATATGCAAAATGAAGTAGAGAGAAGAAATAAAATTGAGTGTAATGAAACAAAATGGGACCATACGATCATACATCTCAAAATGCAAATTCCATACTAGCAAAGCAGGACAGATTGAAGTTTCATTTTCCTTTCAAAAGTCCAGAAACAGACATGTAGTTTTCATTTCCTAGCATCATATTGGCTCTATGCTAACTATTAACAACTTCATTACTGGGAACTGATCCACCCCACAATACTATACATGCAGATCACTTCGCCTTGTCTTTATGTGTGTGATTTTTACAGGTAAGTAAATAACACTGTGTCTTTTTCTTTCAGAAACAGAACAGAATATAATAGTTCAGTTGAAGGGACCTACAATGATCACCTAGTCTATCTGCCTGGATACTTTGGTGTATCTATTGTATGATTTGAACTGTTAAGAGGGAATTATGAGCTATTAGTTGGGGTTTTTTTCACAGAAAGATATATATATATATATATATATATATATATTTGTATGTCTCTTTCTGCAAGTCTCCTAAAAGTGAAAGAAGAGCCTTTGAGTAGAGAAGGCTTGAGTAGATGAATCCATCAGTATGGATTATTTTTATGTGGGAAGTTGTGGGAATCATTTTGGCAGAAAACATGGGAGAATAGTAAGAAAAGTATGTTTTCCTAATGAAAATGTAACATTTTCACTGATTTCACAGAAAGGCAGATATCACAGCCCACATTGTGATGTAAGGAAATGGACTGGCATTTGAAAGCCATTTTCCAAACTGACATAAACAGTTTTATTCAGATTTTTTCTCTTCTCTGCATATGCTGAATATCCAATGGCAGAGTATTTGGTACTGATATAAAACTGGAAGTAAAAATATACTTAGCCCTACATGGAAATTATTCCAGGAATCCCCCAGTTTGTTGGGGTTTTTTTGCAGCATAATGTATTTTATAGTTATATCAGTCATACTAAGATGACATTAGATTAAAACAACAGTGTGAGCTTTCTTCTACTACTGTGAACAGACTCCTTATACAACATAGTTGATGTATATTCCTGTGTTAAAGATTTACAGGACACCCTGGTGCCTACTTAAGGCTGATAAACCGGTGGAGACTGGAAGAGGTGAGTGTTCGCTAATGACACACTGATATCTCTACTGCCCATGGATGCAGTGAACACAAGCAGGGGCAGACACATGACTCTGTCTAGGTATTTTTGAGTGTGTTATTGGGTTTTCAGTTGTTAACTCCACACTACTGACACTTTACCATCTGCTACAAAAATATCTACGTATTGGTATATATATGCCCTTTTCAGTGTTTGCATCACACTTGGAGAGTGGTATCAAGTGGTATCAAATATGGTTACTCATATTTTTACATTGGAGATATTTTGTCCTTGATATGAATCAGTCAGATATTAATCTGATGACATTTTGCTTCTTACAAAACTTTTCCTCTCAGTTTCTCTAACCCTTCTGACCAGCAAGCTAAAATAATAAATGAATAACTTAGAAATCCAGACACATAAAATGTATTTGAAAATTGACAAAAACAACTGAACAAACGTCCCCAAAGAGCTACTGGCATAATGTTACATGTCTATAAAAAGCAAATAGATTTGGAGAGAAATGAGGGATTGGCTTTGCAAGTCACTCAAGGGCCAATCCTATTTTTTTGGCAAATACATTCAGAATTCAAAACCCATTTGACAGTTATTGGAGGTGAACAGCAGCAGTTTCTGTTTCAGTCATGTCGTTTCTAGTGCTGCTATGTGAACTCTCAAATCCCATGTTTTCTTTCCTGCTTCACAGCTGAAAAACTGAAACAACTTTGCAAATACATGACAAACGGCAAGTGGAAAATTCAGATCTTACATGGCCAACATGAATTTACAAACACCTCCAAATATATTAATATTTTGGTTAATAGAGGTCATCTAAACAGTAATGAAAAAAAGAGGAGTTAATTTTTAAAAAAACAAACAATAATGATCTGTCACCCTGTTAATCTAAAGAGAAGTTGCATGAGGTTAACACAAACCTCAGCAGGGACCCTGGTTCTGGGTGTAAATGAGTATGTATAAGAAATACACGTCACATTTTGTTACAGGTCATAACTAATTTTCCTCCCTAAAAGTTAAAGAGAAATAGTTCCAGTCCTATGACAGTGATCTGTTCGACTTATCTGTAATACTCAGGATTTAATAATTCAGCTTGGACTCTACTGTTTGGATCCAGAAAACAATTGTACCAAATGCTCTTTGAGGGCAGAAAGTTTTTTGTCCTTTTCTGTTTATTCCAATACTAGATGGAAAATTGTAGAATTACCTAAATTTCTACTGGCTGAGCATCTCTCCTAAAAGCAGGACCACTTCTTCAAGGTCTGGAGCCACTGCTAAAGGAAGCAAGCACTCAGCAAGAGACACCAAAAGCTGTTGTTTGACAATTAGAGATGTTTACTTTTTCAAAAAGAGAATAGCTTTGTGTAGTCTACTCAGTCATATACATTAAATAGTATTCAATAAACAGTATTGGTTCTATCCTCTAGGGACAAACTGTTTTCCTGTGCAGCCAGGAGGCATTTTCTCTTCATTCTTCAACTTGATGCAGAGTCAGCCTCTGCAAAAACTGTTAAAATCATTGCAGAAATTTGGTAGCCTTTGCCTCTGTCCCACCTACAGTTGCTCAACATAGTAGAGGCTCTAATATGAAAATTGCATTGGTTTCAGCTGATTCTGACCTCTGCAGAGAATTAGATGATAGGCTTAAAAGGTTCATGGTATGATACAGTCTCATGAGTTTATATTTTTTAAAAATTAAGAGAATGGCATTTAATTTCCTTTAAGCAAATTATCTAATATCCATTTCTAGTCTTTAAGAAATGCTTTAAAACTCAGAATTATTTCTGTTCAACTTTTTGTTTCTTTTTTTCTGTAGTGCCACCCTAGTGGATGCCTTATTGATCTCTGTATGCAAATGGGTATTATAATGGTGCTAAAGCAGACCTGGAATAATTTCATGGAACTGGGCTACCCGTAAGTATATATATTGCCTGTGCTTCCATAGGTCACAGAAGTGTACTTAGTTTATGCTTTCCTTATTACCAGTTACAAAAAAATAAAATACAATTACAATAGAAAGTCATTACAATAGAAAATCCTCCCTAGGATACAAAACTCTTTATATGAATTTCCAGACATATACAGATAGATGGTTTTGGGATTTTTTTTCACATTGGACACAGTTCGCAAAAGTGAAGATGGAATATAAATATTAACAAATACATTATTTCATTAAATTGTATTCTGTGTTAAAACTCCTTGAAAATAACTGTAGGACTTCTGTATTCCTTACACAGGAAATATCATATGTATAATTTTTTTAGCTATGCCAGTAAGTTCTAAATTGGATTTCTCCTTGCTGGGTGATAAAAGATGCCTGAAAGGGCAGGTATGAGCTGGAAAAAATGCACTGCTGGCATATACACTCTCAGAGATAGAAAAATGTACTGACTGGTATATAGGCAAGTTCCCTGGTGATCTTCAGGGTATGATCCCCTAGCTAAAAGGTATGCCTTTTTAGCTATGCCCTAGCTAAAAAGGTTGACGATTATTCATTTCCTATTGGTTCATTTCTTATTGATTAGTATTTAATGAGCATGTTTAATATGATTAATATTGACAGTTGATGCTAGAGACAGTGTGGCAGGTCATCAAGGGAAATCAGTAAGTGTGAAAACATAAGAGAGAGCTGACGTTGTCAGAAAGTGTGCCCTTGCAAAGTTCAGAGGGATTTGCTTCGTTGGGGGATCCGCAGCAGAGCTAGTGCAGAGTTCGGTCCCTGGACTGCAGAAACATGTCAGGGCAGCGATTGCAGGCAGCCTCAGTGCTCACCACATCTAGCTGTAATGAGAACGCAGTAAATGATTTAAATGCACAGAGGAATTGGCAATGAAGGTAGCCAAAGCTCGTTATCTCCCTCTCTTCCAGGGTTCGCGCCCAGCGCTGCTTGCCAGGATTTTGCAGCTGGGGTGGGGAGGAGGGAACAGCAGCAGCAGTATTGATCCTTCTCCTTCCACTCCCTGCCTCTTTTGTCAGTTTTCATTAGATCTTTCTGCTACCTATTAATAGGGATTTCAAAACCTAATAAAGAGCGCAGAAGGGGATTAAAGAAGGTGACTGAAGGAGATAGGAAGAGATTGTTTAAGAACAAGTGATTTAATGGGAATAAACTTCTTTGCGTGAAGTCAGTCTCTTCACTTTAGAGTCACAACGAAAATCACAACATACAACATACCTACAGTCACAACAAAGTGAGATGCTTCAACTTATTATGATAAGAGATGTATTTGCTCTTCAAACCTTTCAATCAACCTTCTAGGCCCTAAATGCTGCAGGCAAGTGCGTTTCCTTTTGTGTGGAAAAAACATTTCTGCTAAAAGCACGGTCAGACCCAACATCATGTAGATGGCCAGAGGATTTGGAGGCAGTGCTTCAGTCTGTATAGAACGTCACTGCCTGAGGAGACACAGGCAGAGCCAGCACTGGGCAGTGCCAAAACTGATAGCAGATAGCATTTCCCTGTAAGACAGCCCCAGAAGAGGAGCACCAACATCCTGTTTTGAAGAGTGGTTTTTTGCACCATTTCAGGGTGGCAGCCCAGCTCAGATGCAGGCATGTGCTCCTACAGGGGCCGCAGAGACATGCAGGACAAGTCAGAAATGACACCAGGTGTTCCTTGATGACAGGAACCCCGCCACGTGCCATCACATCTCTCACTGATGTGCGTGGCATTGGCTTGTCTTCTGAAATATCTGCCTGAGGGTTAAAAATTAGGTTGCAAAGATACTATAGAAGAGGCTCTGGGGTTTGTGTTAGAACACAGATTGTTTAGTGGTTACATTTTTAATACAAACACTGGCGTGTCCTGAGTGGTGCTTCAGCTTCATACAAACACCACCTCAAAAAGTGTGCCTCCATTCTCCTCTCCTGCATAGATATATTTGCAAAAACTAAGAGACTAAGTATAAATTACTGCTTCATTTGGAGGTGGGAAACTGAAAATTCAAGTTGATGTTTTTCTTGGAGGAAGAACATATACTCATATTAAAACCACATTGCATTGCTTTGCTCACATTTTGCTCGTATATAAATCAAAAAAAGACATCTCTCTGAATTTTATGAGGGACCTTCATTATTAGTAACACTGGTTATGGGTTTTCTCTCTCACAAAAGAGGAAGTTAACCAGGACCTGTGTTGGCGTATTAGTCTCCCTCTCATCTCCCCCTTCAATTTGCTGCCTTTGCAGGAATTCAGTTCTCAGCCCTGCCATTTTCTCATTGATGGGTCGGGAGAGGCAAAGTCCCACGTGGTGCTGTGGGCTGCAAAGATGTGCCCTTAACTGTCCTATAATCACAACCATGTCTCATTCACAGGCCTTTTTACACACTAGTGTCTGGCTGCAAGCTCACAAAACCAAATATTTTCGTATTTTCTTATACTTCCAAATTTTGGCTTGAAGTTCATGCTTGTACTTCTAGGAGGTTTTTTTCTTGCACTTCTAAATTCTAGATTTTTAGTGTTCTGCACTCAGTTGCAGCTATACTTCTTTAAGGACGACAGAAAATGCTATAACCTCTCTGGTAAATGACCTGAAGGGAAAAATCACCTCTAAATCTTAAGAAAGCATGCAATTGGCCAATTTTTGCTTTCTATGCGAACTGTAACTCATGTCCTTTGTTGGCCAAACCAGTGAACTCCCTGACCTGGAGGAGCAAAGGTGTTTATTTCGAACATGAGCACTCATTTCCCTTATGGCTCAGTGCCTCCCACATTGCTCCTACATGTTTTTCTTAAGGAACAATATGTTCCCTCTGAAGTCCTGTACAGCTCCCCCACTTCTTGCGGTGGAGATAGCTTTTATGTCAGCTATCATATTTCTTTGCACCATCATGTCTTGTCAGTAATCCACACGTTTCTTTCTGCCCTCTGTTCCTCTGAATGTTTGGCAGCAGGCACCATTCAAGGTTGCTTTTTCCCTTCCAGGACTACCTAGGGATTGTTACCCCTGCACACTATAGAGCTGTGTAGAGATGCCGCCTCTCACACAGGAAGCATTAGCACTCTATTTACTGATTTCTCAATTAGAGCTCAGCTATCTCCACACAGCATTGCATTCTGCCATACAAATAGGCCCTGAAGTGATTTGCCATTCTGCGTAGAGAAAAAGCAAGTAAATAAGTAATGAAAACATGTCAACATCCCTCTTCTATTTTAACCACATCTGGGCCTGAATTACAGTCTATCAGCTGTATCTGTTTTTCATACCTATTACACTGTGTCATCGGTCACCTGTATTACTAATGCTCTATTTTTCTGTGCATTGGGAAATTAATTTTGCAAGGTGTGTTGTGCACACTTAGCCTCTTCCAGTTTTGCGATGAATAGCTAATAATATCCTTCACCTTGTTTCTTTAATTTATTTCAAAATGCAGGCTAATTCAAAACTGGTGGACCAGGAGAAAACTACGACAAGAGTATGGCACACAGAGAAAAACAAGCTTCCCACAGTGGGAAAAGGACTACAATCTGCAACCTATGAATGCTTATGGACTCTTTGACGAATACCTAGAAATGAGTATGGCACTGACCTTAGTTCTCTCTCTTTCACTAGATTTTAATGTTGTTGCGGGCCGGTGTATTCTTTTAACTATTGCTGTATGAAGCTAAAGAGGCTGCAAAATGGTTTTCACTCTCAAGGAATGAGAGTGAGTTTGTAAGAACCAAATCAAAACAATGTGGTCGACCACACTGCTGCTGGTTGGTAACCTTGCAATCTGTGAAATACTTCTCATTCTGGCTTTGTGTGGGAAAGGTTGTTTTCTAAACCAGAGCCCACTTCTTCACCTGTATACATTGCTGAGGAACTTTGCTGTGATTTACTAAAGGATATTCCCTTGGGCTTTTATTTTTAAACTGCATAGCACAGACCTGTATGCTTGTTTATGTTTAAAATTCACCATCATTTAGTACCTCGCATTTACAAAGTGGCTTTCTGTCAAAAGGCATTGCTCTATACAAAGTAGAGGAAAACTGTTTAAAGAAATGTTAAAGAACACGAATTCTTGCCCTGTGTGACTGAAATACATATATCACAATTTAGGGTTTTTTCTTTTCTCCCTCACACAATTCTTTTCAAATTAATGGGAAATATAGCAGTCTGAAAACCTGCCTTTAGAAGCTTAACACAAAATTTCAAACTGCTGCCCATCTGTACTATAAAAAGGAATGTATTCAGCCCTAGTCTTTACAGGTATTGAGAGATCCGAGTTGATGCTGGAATAAAAACGTCCCTTCTTAAAAGCACAGTTTGTCCACCTCCAAACTTCACTCCAAATTACGAAATGTAGATGTTGCTGTCCACCCCACAGACAGATGTGCATTTGTTCCTGTCATACTTGCTCTGAACTTTTGGCAAGGAATTGCTGTACAAGTGTCAGTAGACTATTGTATATATGGCATAATGGGAAAATTTTGCATATTTATACATAATTTTTGTATGTATATATTATTTGGTATCTTAGAACTTGGGATTAGATCTTAACAGTTACACCATGATCTTTCCTTTTTTCCCCTAGTTCTTCAGTTTGGGTTCACAACCATTTTTGTGGCAGCTTTTCCACTGGCACCGCTTCTGGCCTTACTTAACAATATTATTGAAATTCGGCTTGATGCGTACAAATTTGTTACCCAGTGGAGAAGACCTTTAGCTTCAAGAGCCAAAGATATAGGTAAGCTTTTGTATGTGTGTTTTTTATACATGTGTGACATTTTTAAAGCAAAGTGTTGACCACTTCAAGTAAGAGCAGATTAAGGTATTTTCAGTCATCTTCCCCATTAACGACACACAATTTGATTGTTCCAAAAAACTTCAAGTATCTGATGCCAGTCTACTTATGCAATTAATAGTCCATATTGGAAAATGTCTTTTCATTATTTTCTGGGTGACTTAACAGCTAACATGTTTTAATGAAATGATCTGATCAGAGCTCTCTGCAGGTTTTTCCTTATGTCAGATGCTGCCCAGTTTGAATACAATCACCAGACAGAGCAGCTGAAACATGAAAGTCAAGTTAAAGCAGCCATCATCCTGTAAGGGACCTTGTGTGTTTTCTATTTACCTGGCCAAAACCAAGCTCCCCTGTGATTCAGTGGCTATGCCCACTATGTCCCTGGTGGGTCAGACAGGGTGGGTGTAGATACCAAGAGCCAGCTTGCTCTCAGTGAGGCACACCTACGTTGCCAAACAGAGGGCTCACATAACTTCAAGGTCACCCAGCCACACACTACTGCAAGGGCTCTCTGAACATATTTTGACTACAAATATCTTCTGTCCTTGCAGTGTTGCAAAAGCAGAACACCTTTAGGAAGGACTCTGTAAAACAAAGTCATCTACCCAACGCTGAATCCCTGGTGTCTTTGGGGGGGTTATTAGGATACATTGCTGCCCATCTGCATTGCAAAAAAACAGTAGCCCATACCATGAAATAGCAGAAACCCAAGCTTTGTGTTCTGAGAATGGTCTACCATTTACTTAAATTCTGTGTCTGTGTAAAGCTTTGTATGTGAGCAGTGTGGATCTACAAGTTTAGGTACAAGCCTGGACATCAGCCAGTACACAGCGTACACTGCAGACATAATTCCCGAAAAAAAACAGTTATATAACGTTAAAGCAGATAAAAATAGATACTTTTTTTTCAGGCTGATTCAGGTGTGATTTCTCAAAATAAGTTACATTCACTCCCTGTTCAGCAAAGTTTTCAGGGACAGCTTGATGCCTCATATAAATCAACAGGTGCGTCCAACCTTCCTTCGGTGTGGTTCTAAGTGTTGGTCCCCGTGACCGGAGTTGCTATGTGCCTGAACCACAAGGTCTGTCAGAGAAGCTGAGGATGGGCCAGAAAGCCCAGGTAATGTCTAGGGGCTGTGTCATTGTGCAGCATTAGCGTCCCGTGAAGATTTTTATGCCAATTGGTATATACTGACCAGCTGTGTACAATTTACACAAAAGGCCTCTGTGAAAGACACGTAATGGATTGCATATGTTCATGGCTGCCCTTGCAGACCTTCCTCAAAGTTCTTAAAACTGCCAACATGTTTATGTGTCCAAGGCCTGCGTGAGCATTTTTGCGGCTTCCTTGAGATTATTTGCAGATAAACAGAATTCTAGAGTGGAAACAGAAATCTGGTCCCTTGAGGTCCTGCTGTTCAATAAAAAAAAATATTTTTACTCAGTAACTCTTGGATAGGAACTACATAAAAAAGACCTTGGGTGGTGGGGACAATTGCTTCAGAGCATGCAGTGTCTCAGGCACTTTGGTTCTTGTAATTCCTGGGCACTTTGGTTCTTGTTTTTCCCAGAGCTAACATACTCTCCTTCTTAAATAGGAATCTGGTACGGGATCCTGGAAGGCATTGGAATTCTTTCTGTTATCACAAATGCATTTGTTATAGCTGTGACATCAGATTTCATCCCTCGCCTTGTTTATGCTTACAAATACGGACCTTGTGCTGGCCAAGGAGAAGCTGGACAAAAGTAAGCTTTCCTTTGGGAAAACAGATGTGCATGAAAATCACTTACTACTTGAGTAGCTACAGCAGTACTGTCTGTGTATGTTCTGATTCCACTAACCCAAATTCATTGCTTGTGCTTAGGTAACAGGTATCAGCCATAGATACTGATGCTTTGCATATTCACAGAACGGGTTGCTGAGTGACTATAATTTATGACATTAATTCAAGGAAAACATGGCAGAGCTGTAACAGAAATTTGGTGTGTGTAACAGTATGCTGCACAAGCTGTGCTTCCCAGCTGCTGTACATGGATATAACCCTCTCTTCATTCTGAAGCGATGCTGATATTTGTCAGTTACGGATTTAATGAGCATTTTAAACTTATTCACTAGGCTTTTTTTCCTGATGTAGTATTCAGCATGTATTGCTGAAAACGTAGTGTCTAACAAGCAGAAGCAATTCCCAACTAATAAACCAAGATACACTTACAGAGCAAAGTAATTTGTTTTTCTTCTAAAACTAGAGTCCATAGATTAAAACTTTCAGGAGATATTTGTAAACTGAATCCCTGCTGCCTAAGTGGATTTTCTTCCAGTGTTGCTAAACACTGAGATTATATTAGCATGTGCACACTACCAGCAAGTATGACTATAGCTGCTACATGGCAACTCGTAAAATCGAGGCTGTTGGACTCAGGGAAAGTCATTGAATCCAGCTGAACACAAATAGACACAGTTTGCAAATGATCTCATAGCTTCTCCATTAGCAAGTATCCTACTGTTCAAAGAAGCCCAAGCTAAACAGTAGACAGTGACAGAGAGCTTACATTCTGCTATTAGACATATGGCAGATTGATTTTTCTTCCCTGCTACAGAAAGCGAGTTCTTCTGTTGCTGCTTTTTTGCTGTCTTTTGGTTGTCAATACTGTTTAATCATACTGACAGAAGAAGGGAAGTCGTCGTGGCAGCTCCTGATTAGCAGTGCTGCTAACTTGCTGTCCTATAAGGAGCTTGGCATTTTAGTCAGAGCCAGGGGAAATGTTCCATTTATTCTCACGAAGAGTTAAAGTCCCTTCATGGATAAAATGTTTGTTATTGGTGCCAGTCGTTCCGGAGCATATGCCTCTGCTTGTGCCATTATGAAGATCCATAGGACATTGAGGCACTGTCAGCAACTTTCCTTGCTAATGATTTTCTGAGGACCACCACGCGTGGAAAAAACACCACCTTTAGAAATTTTATTTTTATGAAGACTCCAGTATGACTCACTGGCTTTCAAACTAGTTCTGTAGAGGGGAAGTAGCTTGACGCACAGAGGAAGCTCATCATCTTTTCACAAACATCTTGTACAGTGTTTTCACACTTCTGCTGCTTTTCTGAGTTAATTTCTAGATGAAACCATCAGACAGTAATCCTTTGAAGGAGCCAATTTGGATAAAAACTATTTATGTCAGCATTCTGAATATTGTTATTAATAAGTATTACTACAAAAGCAGGAAGCTATTCAAAAATCCACAGGAATATTGAATTTTCTCAAATTAAGGAGTCAAGAACATCTGCTATTGAATAACTTAAATGAGAGAGGTGTTTTTTTCTTTCAAAAAACATCTGCGGGTATTAGATCCATATGACACCCAGTGATGCTAGAAAAGTATTGTAATTAAATTAAGTTCCAAATTCAATCGGTATGGAGACTTTGAGACAAAGCCAGATGGTGTTTAAATCTAATTTCTCAAAGACTGCAAAATCCATAGTTTAAAAAAACCCAAACAACCCTTATTGTGCATTGTACTCTGCACCAAGCTGAGCCGTGTGCTTAGACTTACCTGTGCTTGGGCAACACAGAGTGAACAGCACAATGCTCCTGCCATATCTCTCCTCGGCTTTATTAACACCAAACATGAGCCTTCTAGTGACTCCTGCAGCCCTCTGTCAGGTGATGGACATTCTCCTACTCAGTGTTCTCCAAACTCTACTTGACTCTCCCAGTGCTCAGCCACCCTGGCATCTTTTAGTAATGAGTTCTTCTGATTTACTGGACGTTTTGTAAAATGCTGTTTTAAATGTATTGCCTTTCCATCTGATTTAAATGTCCCTTTGTGCTAGTACCATGAGGGTAACGGTGGGAATATTCTGATTGTCTTCCTAGTGCTACTCATTATTTTCTCTACCTCTATTGTGTCACCTTTTAGGTGACTTTTCTTTTCAAAAGCAACCAGTACCAGTCTTAGACATTTCTTCTCCCATAGAAGTCTACCATTGCTTCACTTTTATTGTCCATCTGACCCGCTTGAGCATTTCCTTTATAGTGCCTCAACATCTCTTTCAAGTATTAGTAAGCATCACAGTTATACTGTGGATTTCATGAAACCCAGAGAACATCCTCTTGGGTACTACAGATAATGGAAAAACCATTCTGTGTCCTGACTACAGGATTTTTTCCCCTCTAGGTGTATGGTTGGCTACGTTAATGCCAGTTTATCAGTATTTCTGGTGTCTGACTTTGAAAACCGTTCAGAGCCAACATCAAATGGAAGTGAATTCTCTGGTTCACCATTAAAGTATTGCAGGTAAGTATTGGATCAAAATACCCCTCTGCTTTAAGGCATTGCAAGGGAGAAGCATCATGATAAATTTGGGGTTGGAATTAATTTTCAGAACTTAAAAAACAGTAATGGAAAGAATTAACTGCGCTATTCAGGGACATGACCATGGTACTGCTTTGCTGTTATCTGCATGATTCCTTCATTAAATACAGGAGAAGCCAAAAGTGGATATCTGGCAGCTGTTCCTAATGCAGGATTTCTGTGGTGTCATGGCTTGCATCAGACAGAACCATCATGGAGAAATATGGCATCAAAGGGACAATAATAGGTGACTGATTACTTAGGTACAGGTGAGATGAAACTGTAATCAGATAATATCATAGGACAGCAGAAGGAAGTCAAGGTTGCACAGGAGTGACCACACGAGTTATTTCACAGGTCTGCCAGGTATAAACAGGGTCTGTCCTAAGCTACCTTTACGAAACCTCAAATCCAGCACTTCCTAATTGCTTAATGGTTGATATGTTTATGTCATTGCTTACAGGTGTAATTATTAGTAATAATCATATACTTGTCGTTTGAATCAAAATAAAGTGAGCAGTTAATTATCTGTATGTCTTTGTCCTCAGCCAACAGACTGGAGAAATAGCAGTATGAGACTAGTCTGTAAGGATAGATTTGCTCCTGATTGATTTTAATGGCCCAAAGAATCAAGGATCTACGTAAAAGTGTTAAATGTGGTCCCAACCAAAAATACCAAACAACAAATACAGCTACCATTCTTTATTGCAACACTAGTTTACAAACATGAATCCTGGTAGCTGCAGATACACTTAATCCCAGTATTTTTCACTGTGAAGAATTGAAACATCCTTTCATGAGTGCCTAAAGAACAAAAGATACCGCAGTGATACCGCAGAAGTCAGTGATACTTTGTGATATTGTGGCATTTTGTTAATAATTATGAGTTTGAATGGTGTAGCATAAGAACCAGGGGGTGGCATGAATGCTTTCATTTAACTAACTGATATTTAAGACTATTGCAACTTATTTGGTAGAAAGAACATCCCAATATTGAATCCATAGATAATATATTATGTGGAGCAGAACCACTTTGAAAATACTCCATTCCACATTGTTTGGCATAGCACTGTTTAATAATGTTTTGTAATTCTGGTCATTCTCTTCCCCCTCTTTAATTCCTTTCCTCCCCAACTTCAAGCAGGAGGTTGCTGCTACTTAAAGCCGATGGTGGAAATCCCATCAATAAAAAAAGCTGTTCCCTCAATATCCCATAAACAAAACACTATTAAAATTGGTGCCATAAATCTCCAGAAGATAAATCTATTCTTCTGGGGGACACTGAATTGTTATGTATATCTACCCTTGAAAGAAAATGAACGTCTTTCTTTAGCTGAGTTTATCAACTACTTAACCCACCTGAATTCTGCTAAAACATCAGTCATTTTAATAGCACTTCAAGGCAGATATTGATACAAGGTAAGGAAATACTATGTTCTGCTGTGCAATAGTGTAGGCATTTTTCCAGGAAGGCAGTCTGTCTGAACAAAAACCAGTAGCCATATTCAGTTAACTTCTGCTCGTTTGGAACCCAGATGGTGCCATGCTATTCTGACTGTTCATAAAAGGTTTCCCCATTTCTTCATGTGTAGTGCATACTCTGCTGACTTGGGACTTGGGCCAGGGACTTCTATTTTCAGGATGCTTAGGATATTGTAAAACATCCTAACTCTGAAGTCAGCATGCTGCTTGCAGAAGGGAAGATCATCTCAGTTTTAAGAATTTGCACTAGAGATACTGCAATTTAAGAGGTTTGTTGCTGACGAAGATGTCAAAACACAGTTTATTTCATTTTGTGTAGCATCCTCTGCAATCTAAGAAGGTGAAGGTTCAGGGAGAAATACAGATTATTGTAGAGATAAAATGACTATTTCTTTTGCTCATCTGAGTTTTCTTTAGTGGTTTAAAACTAATTTAGAGATCAAGATTAAGTGTATTATTTGCTGTATTTTCAATATTTTTTATAATGGATTTTCTGTCCCATCTAGGAAACATTATTTTTTAATTCAGTCTCTGCAATAGTATTTTGGAATTAACACACTGCTAGTAGAAGTGGACTCCAGAATGTGTGACTTTAACAGATTGGTGATTTGTTAACATAGTTTTGAATTCTTCCTGGATCCGGCTTTCCCAACAGATATCTCTAGTTCCTTCATTGAGACCTGAAGTTTAGAGAAACATTCTATGAGACAAGACAATAGATCCCTTTCTTACACAGCCCTGGCCCTGTTGACATACCAACAGGTGTAGTTAGTTCTGGCTCCACTTAAGTCAGGATGAGTCATGCTTTACACCAGGGATGGACAACTAATTGACGAAGGGCCAGATGGAGCCCATAAGGCAGTTTTATGTGGATTTTGTAAGGGCTGTCAGGCTGACTAAACTGGGGACGTTTATGGTTTTAAAATGAATGTGTAGTGGGAAGAAAGTGGCCCTCAAAACAGCAGAGCATCCCATCCTGCTCCATGTTCTGAGGAGGTGCCTGCGAGGCACACATTGCGCTGCTGGAGGGTCAAACTGCGGGTGCTGAGCACCCAATATCCTTTGTATTTGCCTCAGCAGTTTCACTTCAAACAGTCACTGGCCCAGTCTTTGCAATGTATTTCCATTAGCAGCTGCAGTGTGTCTTACCACTAGGTTTCATCTGAAAGAAACTCATTTGGGTGAACCAACACATGACAAGCAGAAGTAACCAGGACACTTGCTTCAAAAGCACGCGCCTGATCTGAAATAAAACATTAGTGTGGGCCCAGCCTAAGAAGCAAGGAACTTATACAGTCTGAACTGAGATCATTTTGGTGCAGAAAATGCAATGAGCAAGAGCAGCTGGGTTTTGGGTTTGCCTTCCTCCCGGGCAGCGGGGCAGGACCTTGCTAACTGCCACACTCTGCTTGTCTTTCAGGTACAGGGACTACCGAGACCCTCCTCACTCCCCAGTGCCCTACGGTTACACGCTGCAGTTCTGGCACGTCTTAGCAGCACGGCTGGCTTTCATTATTGTATTTGAGGTCAGTGACCACTCAGGTGGCAAATGTGTTTGTTTCTCTGTTTTAACAAAAACAACAAAATGAAACAAATTTACCCTTGAAGCCTTTTGGCTGGGCTGATTTGTGACGGCAGCTGTTGAGATTTTTGGGTTAGTTGCTGCTATTTCTATTGTGCTTTGTATTCTCAGATCTGTTTTCTGAACAATCGCAGGTATTTAGGTCTTAACGCAAAGGCGAATGCAGCAGATCAAAAGCTGTAACAGTGACTTGCAAAGAGGGGAAATAAATGAAGCTTTCTGAGTTTTGGCTTTCATACCCTGGCTAGGCTGGGAAGCCACATGCTAACTACTGTGTGAGGAAGGGGTGAAGGAACAGGAGAAGAAAAGATGAAATCTGAACAACTGAAAAATGAAGACAATTTAAGTTACAGTATTTATGCATCTGGCTTTTTTCCTCTATTTTTTTAGGACCATTCATTTCCCCATAATGTTTAGCATCACAAAGATGATGATGATGGTGAAAAGGATTCAATAGCTTTGCCAATGTCCATAACATTAGTGTTATTGTCAGTATCTCAGAAATCTTTAAGACAAACCAGAGAAGATAATACCAACTTCACATGACTGGTAGTCACATGCTGATTTTGAAAAAGAAAGACAGGAGGCTAGATAAATAGGATGAAATCATTTACAAAACAAAATGCAGCTCTTAATCCCTGAGTTTCAGGAGCCTAAATATCCCTTCCTGAAACCAGGGGCTCAGCATTTCTCCAGCACAAGCAGTTTGAAATGCCTTTTACACTGTGAAGAAGCCAAATAGGGAACAAATGATTTTTAAAAACTCTTTACTCAATCCACTGCTCTGAAATCATAGCAACAGAGCATCTGACACAGATATGGAAGCAGTAATCACCATAAGTTATTGGCATAATATTCATGAGCACATACTGCATTTCTGACTCATTACTGTGTAAATTCAATCTGAACTGAGCTTTCGAAGCACCTCTTTGGATCACTCAAGTATTTTAATTAGAGGAAAGGTGAAGGGGAAACATTTTCTAGATTATTTCTTGTGTAGGGATGTCTTGGTGGCTCAGACCAAAGGTCTGCAGTGCATTCCCCCTGACTGTCATTTTTAGCCCTTCCCAGACGAAGGAGGAATATGGCACTGCAGGTTGAGCTGTCTCCTTCCTCCACACTGCACTAATTCATTAGGGGTTGGTCCTAAGGAGATCAGCTCTGCCATCAGCACTGCCACAGAAAGGGGAAAAGAAGGGAAAGAAAGAAGATTTGATAGAAGCCTGCTGGGCTTGATCTCTTTGTTTCTTGAGCTGTCAGTACTGAGAACCCCAGGGTATGTGTCTCCAAAAAGGACTACAAGAATGGCCTTGACAGGCCCACCTAAGCGGTTTTAAGGTTGAAGAAAGCCTGGCTTCTTGATACACACTTGGCATATCGGCAGCATGGCATAAGGGCAAAGAAAACTGAGGCAAGAAAAATCAGCCCTGCTGAAGTCTCAGTGCCCAGTGAAATCTGTGACCAGCTGTGGAACAGCTTCTTGTGTCCGCCCAATACTTGCACAAGAGAGTTGACTTTGCTTTGCCCCAACCAAGGCCACAGGCTGGCTCATAGCTGCCTCCCTCAACAGGGACCCCTGCTTATTGGCGCTGCAAACTGTTTCCTTAACTAAATCTATGAAATGAAAGAGGTAATTGCAGCAGAAACCATGTCTGTCTTTCTCTGTGGAGAACACCAATGGATGTATTGTGATTGCTACAGCAATTACAGTAAAAGATTCCACTAAGAGATAAGTGGTTCAAGGTAAGTTTGTTCATAAATTAAGTAACTACTCAAGCTCAGACACCTTTTTGTCACTGAAGAAATGGGTGTGGTTATTTGAGCTATCTTGACCTCCCTCAAAAACAAAACAAGTATTTCCAAAAGGAATTGTTTGTCCAGGCTAAACTGAGCATTTAGTTGCAATGCTGACAGAAGCAGCTGTTTTTCTCTTTTTATAGGTTTGGCAAAAAGCTACCAATTAAAATATTGCAGGTTTATTTCACACAGGGGAAGAATAAATGAGAAAACATGCTAACATTTTATTTTCAGTGGCTTTCAAAGGAAGGGTTCTACTTGAAGAAGAAGAGATACCTTTATATCTCCAATCTGGAATTAATGTCATTTTTGATGGAGAATTTTTCTGTTTCTTTGCTCATCTTCTTAAGTGGAGCAAGTAAATCTCTGAGGAGCATTTTTGATTAAACAAAAAAGGACACTCGAGCATTCCCCCCCTATCACACTCAAGCTTTGCTGTATCATGCCTAAAACATGAGGGACAAAGGATCAGTTATCTTGTATTTAGTTGTGATGTTTAGTAAATGGCAATACGACTTTGGATGAGAGACTCATAATAAGAAAAAATGTTTTGTTTTGCATAGGTAATTCATCATTTCTGATACTGATGCAAGGGTTTTCTCATAACAGGGAAGTAGTGTATCATTTGATCCTGCTCTTCCTGCAGCACAATCCACTAATACCAGACCCTGCCCAAAAAACCTGACAGCAAAGCATGGCCTCAGGGCTTTGAACACACGGTTTTGAGGCTTTATTTGAACCCAGTTGCTCTTAACCTTTGCTGAGATCCATACTCCACTCACTTTGGCTGGAGTTTTTGTTGGGAAAAGTCTTCATGGTTTGGGTTCTTCAAATTTAGCAGGAGATTTAGTTCTAACACAGCACTTTTTTTTTTAATTGGAAGGAGAGGGTTTTCAGAAGATGTGGAAAGTACTTATTTTCTTTCTAAGATTTTAATTTTTCATCCCTTTTTGTTTTCACAGCACCTTGTTTTCTGCATAAAGCACCTGATTTCCTACTTAATCCCAGATCTCCCAAAAGATCTGAGAGATCGGATGAGGAGAGAAAAGTACCTGATTCAGGAAATGATGTATGAAGCTGAACTAGAACGTTTGCAGAAAGAGCGGAAGGAAAGGAAGAAGAACGGAAAATCTTATCACAATGAGTGGCCATGACGGGGTGAGGAAGAAACTGCTTAAAAGAAGATAGGAATTCTGTTTATAAAAATTTCCTGGTTTTCTACACTGGAGAGAGCACTAAAAGGAATAGTCAGTCAATGTTGTGTGCACTTAGCACATGTGCACCCATCTTTAATGGGGTGCACATTGGCATAAGCCTTTTGAAATTAGAGGTCTTGCAAGGCTTAGTCTTCTCCAGAGCTAATGTCAGCATGAGCAGATCAGACCCATGCTTAAGTCTCTGCACTCTTTCCAGGAAGTTCCCAGGCTCTGACTTATACTCAAGGCCCTAAACTTCAAAGCAGTATATATCTTACAGTGCTTTACAGAACTCAGTGATCTTATGGCTTCTTCTCATGACCAAGTTGCTGCTTCATAACCAGTGACTGTGCATTAGCAACATGGCAGTACTTGTCCATGTGTGTGGCCACCACCTGCAGCACATGCATGGCAACGTTGCCCTCTTCCACAGTGGACTAAGCTGTGTTAGCTTGCATTTACCTTGAGTTAAGGTCACATATGTGGACCATTTCCATTACTCCAACAATACTGAAGTATTTTTTAAGATGAGATGCTTGATCATGAGTCTAATCAACTGGTCTAAAAATGCTGAAAAATTTAGGTGTGCAGACGTGCTGACAGATAAACAAGCATCTAAATGTGCCCAGAGGTATCTAACTGTAGGGTCATTTATTTGAAAATGATACTGTGAAAAGTTAGTAAAACGTTCTAAAGATTTGAACAGTGCCTTTTCAGCTGTAGAACTGTCTGATCTCTGAAGGAAACAAATCAGGCTAGGGCATCTTGCCCAGAACCGCCCGTGTATTTGTATTGCAAGATCCCATTGAGACCTTGCCAGGAATCAAAGTGTGTGATGCACTTAACAGAAGATGGACTGTGTCTTAAAGACCTATCTGCATAAGTAAAACAAACAAATAAAAAAAAACAACGGATGAACAAGGTCAGGAGAGCAAAGGAACAGAGTCATCCAGAATGTCTACACTTGTAACATTTTCTTTGTTCATTCTTCCATTATCTATGAAGGAGTGGAGGGAAAAAATAAAACAACAGACTGTAGTATGAAATAGCTTGAAATCCTTCATGCAGAGCAATTCTACACAGGCTGCAGAATTAGATTTGGGTGAAATGGGCCACATCCCTTTGCAAATTTTTTAGTACTAAGAAATCAAAAATTTCCCAGACCATTAACCAAAAATAGTGGAGCTGTAGGTCTGAAGACAGCAGAAGTGTTGGATCAAGCAACATGGATCGAAATGCTGAGTGTTGTGAAAGCTCTACCACCTCTTGCCTCAAAGTGGTAACACTGCAATTCTTGCAGAACAGGCAGTGGCACAATCAGCCACAACACGAAGAAAGAAGTTCAAAAGTCAAGACTGTAAGAAACCAAGTGGAAGCAAGTCTTTTTCCTAGTGAGGATACAGCTAGATAAAAAATACTGGAGCTGATCTATTTGCTTAGCCCTTTTCCAAATAATTGGAGCTCCATAGAAATTATAATTTTCTCAGAAATCTTAAGGAATTGTGACCTTGTTAGTTGAAGATATTTAAAAGGGAGGAAAATTCAGCAAGTTGTTTCTATGAGTTCTCCTGGAAACTATCCCATAGAAGGGCTAGAATTTGCCCTTCTGGACAGACCACAAAATGCAAGACTTTATGGATGGATGCCTCAAGCTCCACAAGACATCAGCACCACTTGCACCAAGACCCCATATTGCCAAATTAGATCTATTAGCTTCCTTCCGCTGCAAAGGAGAACTGTGCTGTTTCCATGCAGGGGGAGGGTTTTAGTGAAAGGCAGTATTTAGGTGAGGAAGGAGAGAGGTGGAAGAAAATGTGTGTACCCTCATCTCTGTAGCCACTGCCTGCCTACACTTTACTTCCTCAAAGCAAGGAATCTCCTCCAGTAGTCAGCCACCACCCTACATGAAGGGGATAAATGATACAGCTCCCATTTACCAGGTGCTTGTGTCTCAGGCCTGAAGGTCCTATAAACACTGAAGGAATTTCAGGATTAATCTGTTCTCTGTTGACTTGGTGCCAAACTGAGTGGGGAACACAACTAGTGGTTGTGGGGTGTATAATTCCTGCCTAATGAGGAAGCAAACTTGTTCATCTGGGCTTTAGCTTACAGAAGCTGTGGACACAGCCCATGTGGGCAGTGGAGAAATGGGTGTATTTCTGTCTCTGTAAACAGGGGGCGGGGATTAGGCAACGTCATCCTCTGATACACACATGCCAGATGGGTTAGTATTTACCATCCAGCACCTACAGGTGCATACTACACTCGCAGTCTGGAGACTCTCAGGACTCTCTGAATCATGGTCAGACCAACTTCACATAAGCAGTTGTGTTAGTTTGCACACCCTCTGTTTCATATCTAGAACGACAGATGACAAAAGCTTAGAAACTGTTTGCTAAGTAGCACAGCGAGACATGTCATGCATAAAATCAGTGTCACCCGTATGAGTGTGAACTGTTGCACACTGCTGCAGTAAGATATAGCTTTGTCAATGTAGATATCAATAACTTCGAGAACTGAGCTGAAACCCAGTAGAATATAAACTCACTTCCACTCCAGAGAAACTACCGCAATATAATGTGCCAAAACAAATAAAGTGCAGCAGAAATACAATAGACAATAATTGCTTTTGAGACTAGTTTTCAAGATAGCTACATTATGATGAGTTTTCATGACAACACGTTGCTAGAAGTTGTGTCCCATTCTGCTCTAAATGAGAAGAGGAGCTGGCTGCTTACCAAGCTTGTGCCAAGTATGATGCTGAAAAGGAGATCTGACCTGCCAGGCAGATCCCGACTGCATTTGTGTCACTACATTGACCACTGAGGTTTCTGTGCTGCTGGTCTGCAGGCCAGATTTCCCTTGAGTCCTTCAAAGCTATACAGTTGAACACTCAGGAAAGAGGACCCCCTTTTATTTATTTCGTAAATTAGGAAAATATAATACAAATAATAGGCTAATAATAAGAAAAAAATGGAATTTTAATGGTCTCTAGATAGCAAATTTATGCCATTCCCTTCTTTCTGATCTGATGATGGGTTTTGTTTAAACCTCCAGGTGACCGTCCTATATGTTGTTTACTTATTCCAGCTCCACAAGAGCACTACCTTCAAGGGAATGAGAAAAAAATGCAACCTCAATGCATGCCACAGACATTTTACATAGCAAGCAGGACAGCACACATCAAAGGATTTACTGTGAAATCATCTTGCAATCAGCATAGGATTGACCTCCATAGACCACCCTTGGCAGCAAGCATGTACTTCATGAGCAGTTACACACCAGTTTTTAAAACCAAGGAGAAAAAAAAATTGTATATTGGGACTGTTTTTCAGCCTGTTTGCTACATTTTTTGCATTCTGTCCCATGTTGGTTTTACAGATCTTAGAATAAACAATGTAAATGAACAACCAGGATACTTTGACAACAGAAAAAGCCTAGGTATAGAACATCATCTGTGTTCAAGCCACCAAATACTACAACAGAAACCCTGTTTACAAATCAGTTCTTTTTTATTTTAAATCTTTCTGAGGGGAGTTATGTTATTTACCATATATATAATATATATATAAAGTATATAGATTGTTTATTTGTAAATAGAAAAATCCTATGGAGAAGAATGTCAAGTTTTCACACTTTAAAAAAAATCATCAACATAAAGCCATGTTTAATGCTTGTATAATGTGACGCAATAAACTTTAAAATAAATTATGCATATGAAATACTTGCTGTTTGGCATTCACGAGTTATTTTCTGTTTACATAATTATTCAGAAAGCAAACAGACCAGTCAGGTGGAAGCAGATTTAAATGCAGACCAAAAAGAGCCAAAATCCATCACTACTTCTCTCTGTGGATCCTTTGTATATTCACATAGTCAAATATTGTTCCTGTTATGGTTTTAGTTCTTCTTTCAATATTCCTACTTGTTTTGTCTCTTGACCCTGCCAGATGCTGCATGTAATTTGGACAGTGCGGAGTGCTCCCACTCCCACGGAATTAATCGGCTTTGAGCATCCTGCGTTTCTTTGTCGGGTGATGTTTTAGCTGGGAGAGATGAAGGATCACCGTGCAGGAGTGTGATGCAGACACCAGGAATTATTTTGCTGCTTTCATACAGACAAAGGCCCTGGCTGAGAGTCTAACTGGCAGAGGACAGTGTATGATCCCAGAGAAAATATATTTAAAAATTAATGTGTTGCTTTAAGTAGAGGTACCAATTAGAACAAGAATCATAAAGAAAAAATAAAGCAGAAGGAATCACTTTGTGGCTCTGCAACAGTCATGGGAGGTTAGTTAGCAAGAAATGGGGTAGTTGCAGGCATCAGCTACAAAGGTTAAGAATGTCTTTAAAGCTCTTACAGAAAGATATTCTCCCCCGTGAAAACTCATCCTGATGTTGACATTGTGGACCAACAGGTATCATCTGGCCCAAACTTTCACTTCATACCAAATATAGAGTTAAATGACTGCTCAGTGCTCAAATAGTGACTTCTGGCAGTAAGTGAAGGTAAGTTGGTCATTTACACGTTTTCTCTGTTTTAAACAACTGTGTGAATTCAAGGCACTGAGAAAATAAAAACCTCTGTAGTGCTACATTTTTTCTTAACTATGACAACTGGGAAGATGAGTCTTCACTCCACAACAAACCAGGCAGAGGTCCCAGATCATCCAGGACAGTTTAAGGCAGTACCTGTTACAGCGCCAGCAGTGATCTTGGCACAGAGTGGTGCAGCGAAGGCCCCGCTGATGCTGCTTCACACAGCAGAGATGGTCAACATTCAGGTGAGCGTTTGGGAGGGCTGTAGCCATCCCAGCAGGTACAGGTCAAGGGCTTGCCACAGGCTTCTGTTCTCTCTGTCCACAGCTTACCAAGCACAGGTACACAGAAGCACACCAGTCCATTTCAGCACACTGCAGCAGAGCGGAGATGCCTCTACTTAACCCTTTTTCAGAGCTGTGGGCTGAAAGTACCTGGTAAGTACAAATTATTATACTTTAAGGCTCACGAACCATTCTGTAGCACAAAATGCAGCATCAATTTCTGTGTCATGAAGAGAAGGCACAAGGGTGGATGAGCTGCACTTATCTTCTGAGGCTTCACGAGCAAAAGCCAGGTCAATGCAAACCACCGCTTCAGGAGGCAAAGAGGAAACCTGCCTCCATCACGTAGTTTTGCACTGGGTTAGCCGATGGAGACAAGCCTTTGGTGGCAACCCATCCAGCATCTCCTCTAGTAGAAGTCTGCTCCTTGGAGTCCATTTTTTCTTCCTAATATTTTCTGAACGTGTCAGTTTATCTTATGCAGTGTCCTCCATCACAAGGGCATGGGATAAATTGATTTAGATGGTCGAGGGCCCCAGTCAAGGCAGATAAACTAGCACTGTGTCATATTCCAAGTTACAGCAGCTCAGCACCTGGCACAAACGCAGCATAACTTTTGGAAAGCATTTAAGGCACGCAGTCAGTTTTTCATTCGAGTCTCAAGCATGACTGCTTTATCAACTTCATGACTAAACTGTCCTGCAGTGGTTTTTATTTTTCAACTTGATTCTGCTGCTGTAGAGGGGTTTTAAACACCCACGTAAAGCCATAGCAAAAAGTCTTCAGCACAAAAACAACACAGTGGGTCAGAGTCTGTTCCCTGCTGCACACAAGATAAGGAAGCAATGGGGCTTTCCACCCTCCCAAAGCATAAGTACGGTGCACAGTCTGGAGTGGACGTGCTGTTCAGCTTCTCTTGGCAGCCCAGCCAAAGGAGGAGCCGTCCCATACCCCGCAGCCCTGGAGAAGCCTTCACCAAGCAACAGCCTCTGCGACCTCTTCCCCACGCTGGGGGACTGCACAAACATGCAACTTATTCTTGCCTGATCTGGACCGACCTTGAACGTGAACTCCCAGAGTGACAACAGGGACTGCACGAACACAAATGGCGACATGAGCTTTCAGCTCCACAGATAACAGCAGTGGCAACTGCAGATGCAGCCCTCCCTCTTGTCCAGTAGGGCTGAGGGGGCTGCCTTCTTGCATTAACATCTCTGCAGCACTGTGCCCAGCGCAGTGGAAGGGCAGTCCTAGGCTACCACACTGGGCATGAAGACTACTGTGGTTCTGCTATATGGCATTGAATATAAAGCCCAAATAGCTAATTTCCTTTATGAGGACCAGCTCTGTAAGGGCAAGACAGGGCAGAAGAAGGGGACGGGGAGTGAAGGGAAGGATATTACTGACTCTGGCCTCTGCCCATCACCAGATACTCTCTTGTAGCCTCCAGCAGTGACCACAGAAGAAAAGTTGCAGGTAACCAGGGAACAAGTGGGTTAATAAAAACAAACATACGTGACAAAACCAGCAAAATAAATACGCTTTCAGGATCAGTTCTACAAAAGAACCAGATGGCACTAAATACACCTCCTGTACTAAAAAAAGACCCACTGTTTCTCACAATCTGATAGTCTTGCAGTCCTAATCTCTTCATTCTTCTAATGCCTTATAAGAAAAAAAAAAAGAAGAAAAAAAAAAACCAGAAAAACAGTGCTCTTACTAAATAAAAAATTTACTCTGAGAGTGAACTGAGATTAAAAGCAGATATCTTCCAGGAGGCTCAAGAATATAAGGCAAATATTTCACATAGAAACATTGCCTTAAGCCCTGTCACCAAGATCCAGCGTGAGAGAGAGTGAGCAAAGAAGTGCAAGAAAGACTTGATTCCTTTCTTGGCTAATGTCAAGGTCATGCAAGGGTGACGGTGCCATGAAGCTCAGCAGACGCCAGCCCATGACCCAAGCAGGGCTGGTAACTGACCCAGCACAGGAACGTCAATGGTGCTTTACATGAACAAAACTGTCCTCGTGGGCTGGCGTGGCCCCGTGTCACATATGAAGGCCATTGACTTTGTTGTCCTTATCACTTGCAACATCCATTTCGATGTGGCTGAAAGCAGGGTTGTCAGTTCCTTCGGCTGCCACAGTAAAAGGGTTGCAGCTCAACACTTCCACTTTCTCTTGCTAAAAAAGAAAAGACAAAAGCCATGCTGTGAAGTGGAAGAAACACTCTTCCTCTCTTTGACCAGTATGGAAGCAGAGTAACACAGGATGCCTTGCAGGAAAACACATGTTGGTTGCTGACAGAGCATAAATTGTTATTCATTGTAGTAGTTGGTATTTTTCTAGGGGCATGGAAAGTTTCTTATTGCATAAGGTACTAGTTGTGAAAATATTCTTGTCACATAAAATGTTCTTGTCCTGCAAAGCGTCAAAAGTAGTTTGGGGTGTGCAAAGATCTAATTGCTGTTTTCATGTCTAGTGATGTGTCAGCACCATGTCCTTGAGCTATTGACTCCCATCCCTTAGTCCTTGACCCATCTTTGACATGAAGAGCACATTAACATGCATCATTGCTTTGATGTTCCATCTCTGTCAAACATAATGAGATGTTGAGCTCTTCACGTGCAGGAAGTTGCTCAGTTCCCCCTGATTTTTTCCTCAACAACTTTCTGCATAATTTGTGATGCTGACTATATGTTACTCAGCTCCCAGCTGTATAACCAGCCAAACACTTGTTTCTGACTCTGGGCATAAAATAGTATGGCTGTGGACTTTAGCTTCCATGTGGGTGGGGTTTTTTTCAAAAGTCTTCAGGGATTAAATTCCAAGATAGTGAAAACAGATTTTGGCCCATTAAAGGCAGTGAATGACAGTAACTGGATAGCTGGTCTCCAATCCTGACATGAGCATTACAACAGTATTGTAAAAATCCCTTTTTATTCCTGGCATTCATATCCACAAGCTGAAATACTTGAGATCATACTGAAATGAGTTGTCATCATGGAGGACAGACATTTTGCAAACTGGACCATCTCAAAGATATGATCCTTGCCTGTACTGCAGCATTCAAAAAGCACTGAACAAAGCTGAGCTTGAATGTTCAGCATCCTGATGATACTGATTGAAAAGTGATCCACAGTTTATTAAAAAAAACCAAACAAACCAGATTTCCCCTACGTTTTCTTTAGTAAGGGAAGTTATTACCCAATAATGTCTCCCCTTTTCTTACATCTTAGGGAGGAGCTAGGAAACAGCTACACTGACTAGAAATGTTTTCTCTCAAACAGTAGCTGAAATAGCTAAAAAAATCCAGACTTTAGAGAACACATGTTTACAAACAAAGGAAGCTTTGCTGAGCCCAAAGCATGCCTTGGGCCAGCTTCCAAGACACTAGTGAGGGAGTATTTTGGCAGAAACCCGGAGAACAACTGTCTCTTGTCTCAGCTGCTGCTCTGTCGTTCACTGATGACAAGCTGTGGCCAAACATAGCTTCCCGGCCTATGCCAGCTGCTTTAATCCTATCTGCCTTATGCTCTGCTGCTGCCTTAAAGCACACAGTCACAACAGGCAGCATGAGGTGATATTCATCCTGATGGGAAAAAATAAGCCAGAAACTGTTTGCCTTTGTCCCCAGGAGGAAAAATTGATTTAAGTCAGAGATGCATAATTACACTTACTGTCTCAGATTTAGACCATGAGAAGTTGGACAGGAAATCTTCCTTGGTCAGCAGGAATTTAGGATCTATGTTCTGCTTTAGTCCTCCTGCAAAATAAGCAGGTTTCAATTAGCCAGGTTTCCACCTGCAAATGATATATCAGAGCCCAGCTGTGGGCACCAGGCCAGGTGAGCAGGACAGTCATGCAGCAAAAGCCATCAAGCAATCACAGGCCTTAGGGATCAT